CAAGAAGGATATAATACAAGGCTCATTTCTACAACTGTCGTCCTTATTTTAGTTCACTTTCATCATGCATGTATTAACAGAATTTTCTATCACTCACTTCAGGGACTTACCAGGGAACAGTCTTGTCAACTTAGTGTATGCGAAGTGGAAACACATCTGAGGAAATATGTTTTGCTTATTACCAACTAAATATAATATTTTTCAAGTGTGGTATGTAACAAATCCAACTGCTGCACTTCCATGTTCCTTGTTAAAACTCAGTCAGTCAGCTTTGTCACTGCAGATGCGTAGTGTCACAACTCACTACAGTGTTAATTGGCCCGAACAATTATGAATGCCGTTTCTTAAGTACTCTATGCATTTCCCAGTTCCTTAAATTGTCCAGATAAAGTGCACTGAAGGAAACATTAACCAAAAGTCAGTAACACGGACATAAGAATTAGTGTAAATAGAAGTGAATGAGATGGGTGATTTTTTTAAACCTGTTGTACGCTTAACTAAAATTCTCATGTATATGAATAAAGCTGTATCGTTCACAAGATGCTTGTATGAAAGAGGGCACTGAAACATAAACTAAGTCTAACATGAAACACCTTGAAATTGTTATATCCTCTGGTCTTTCTTGGTAACTCTATTTCTTGACGATTTCTGTAATGTAATCTTTACAACTGTTGCGAATATGACTTCATAAAATTAGATACAATAATGTACGAGATGCTGCAAATTCAACACTGTAACATTAATACTGTTTTCGGACAAAGCAAATTATTATTACTGTTGCACCTCGCTGCAGTGTTAACCTGCTTATACCCTTATTATTTCCGTATCCTAAGTATTGCACTAATTTTCTTATTTCCTTGCACTGTATAAATAGGGTTCAACGAAGAAGTAACAGCGAACTATAAGTAAGTAACGCTGACGCAAGAAATGGTAGCAGTCGAAAGAAATGAAATGAGTTGAAGACCTTGTAATAATACTAGTAATCTCCCTTATTCCAAAAACAGTACTTGACTTATTTACCCATGCATTTTAACGTTTCTTCTAATTATCTTATTTTTGTCTTTGTAGACATTGCCTAAGATGCCCTTGTACGCATCGTCTGGAAGCAGCCTTTAATTTCATCTACCTTCCGCGAAGTTTGTCTTACGAAACGTCGAAATTTTACTGACTGGAAAACGCTACAATTGGTGTTTATGTTACTGATGCAGCGATACCCAAGACTAGACACGTTATAGCAACGTAGGCCTGTAATAACATTACCTACATAGTAAATACAATGCTAATTACAAAAGCTCGTCATTATCTTTTCATTGCGTACTTACAAGAAAAAAGTTTACCTTGCTTCTCATACTAAGTACTGAAGATTCCGCCTAGTACTCACTTCGACTTGCTCTCTATAAAATGCTTTCTACTATATTCGCAAATGACTATTAGACTTTTGTCACATGAAACGGTAAAACATAAGGCGTATGCAGTTTAGAAGTTAAGGTATATTTGCATTTATTGACACAAAATGTATGTACATCTTCCATTATTAGACAAGAAAATTCCCAAAGTAATTCAGAGTTGCTCGCAGCGCACTAATAGTATATTCATTACTATAATTATCCTGCATAACTGCGAAGCTTCTGTTCAATTGCCTGCGAAGTTGCAGTATCTCCCTGCAGGGTTTCTTCACTGAACCTTCACACGGCACACTACTTGGTAGCAACGGATCCTGCCAAAACCATCTGCGACACAGGCGAATTACTTTGTCAACTAAAAATATTAATTTCAATATTAGTAGGAGCTTGATTTACCTGTAAACTGAGGAATTTGAGTGTGACATAGCATCAACCGTCCTAATGACACTAAGGTAGTGATGAAATCTAAATGGTTAGAAATCAATGCATTTACCTTTCAGGTGTCGCAGCTTTAACAAGACGATATAAAAACCTGCGTACAAAAGGATTTCGAGTCTAAATGCATCAAGTATTAATTAAATTCACCTCACCTTCCTGCTGAAAGCCCGGCAAACATGAAATGCACAGATGACGATTTTCGCCTGAATTTGACTATTACGCACGACAGATATCTCACAGTTGGCCGAATCCATTACGAAAGTTTCTGTGATGGACGTATCCTGCATTATTCTTTGGAATTGTTCAAGTATCCAAGCTATATCACATGATCTCTCTCGTCTCGTCCATGCCAAAATACAGGCCTGCTATGACTCATATTGTCTGTTACCACCAACTGAAACAGAGAATATCTGATTAAGATTTGTCAACCGTTTCACGTATGACCTACCCATCCTTATTCGTGTTGTATGTTGAGTCAATACACACCACCTCTCCATGTTTCCGATATAACTGCACCTGTGATTCCAGGGCGAAGCAAATTCTCCTGGTTATACCTGTATTCGAATCCACGTATTCAACCACATGACCGATTTGCCTTATTGTGCGCATAACCTCTGAACTCAAAGGCATGGCTTCCAAAATAACTTTAAACTACATCACTTACTTGGTTTCACATCCTTACGTAAATTATACACATCTGTGCTCGTCAAAATTTTATTAAAATTCTCTTCAGCATATTCCAAAACATCACCAACCTCAGATGTAGTCTTCACAACTGGTGCAATATTCTCCTTTTCATCCCCGGAAAGGCGTCTAAAATATGGATCACCTATCATAAGACTCTGTTCACATCTGTGATTGTGAACAGTTTTCGCGGAACAAATGATAAACTGGTCCTCCTTGTAGCGTATACGAAAGCGAGATTGGCAACCGGTGTATTTTGCACTGCAGAAATAAATAATAGAATTCTTACGGTTTGACGCGTAAACCTGAACCTCTAGTTTTTCGCTTCATGCCATATGTACAACGAAAGACTACTAATTTGTACTTCAAATCCTGAGATTCATGGTCCCGTATGCACGTTTTGATTACATAATGTGTATGAGTTGCCTAGGAATACTCTGCCATACATATTTACATATATTACTGATTCCAGCTGACTTAGAGCATCTTCTACTTGAACCCAATCGGTATACCGGTGACTAAACATAATTCTGTCAAAAACTTTTTTGATATCCGCTGATATAAGAAGGGCAGGTTGGTCGCCAATGTCTCCAAGTGCCAATGCGTCCATTCGGTACCACTGTAAATGAAAACGGAAGGTTTTCAATAAAAAATTCATGAATAGCCAACAGAGTACAGTAAGCAACTTAAAAGAGACATTGACTTGGAAACTATAGCGGAAAAAATATAAATTCCTTACCACAATCACCGTTTTGGAAAGTTCCTGATTATAGCCATAAACATTTACTGAAACACTCGTGAACGACAAATATGGACACAAGTGATGAAACGAAGCTCTACAGAAATCATTGAGACGCCACAAACAGGAGGATTTTAGGTGCACTCTATAATTTTCACATGAAACACATTCTCAAGCATCCTCCTGCACCATAACTGCCTTCAGGCCTAGAGGCAGCTTTTGACGACTATTCTTAATAAAATCAATACAGTTCAAGCCAAACAGAAACCAGAATCACGTCAAATGCAGCTACCTAGATCAAACGAAACAAACCAGCCAAACTGAAATCAACTAGACCGCGCAAATGTTCTCAAGGTTCAGCTGGAGGCGCCACTTCAAACAGGGGATATGCCTTATCAACGCCCGGGGGTGGCAGTTTTGGCTATATTATTACAATGTTTGCTGGACAGCAATGTGCAAGCTGCACCTGTGTCTACCAAGCCAACGAGGGTTCTGTCATAAAATTTAACTAAAACAGTGGGCAAACGCTGGGCTACATATGGCTCGTTTGATACTTGCATAACATTGGGTAAAAACAAAGCAGACTCACCAACTTTTTCTGGGAAGCGAGAGTTCATCCAGCCCGCCCTTGGACGTAGTTAGTTTGGGGTTTGTCTTGCTTTCGGGGAAGGTCGAGACCTCCACTCTATAGGTCGTTTCGCATGATGCTCACAAGGTGGCGTCGATTCTTGATATTGTGGCGGAGTATAGGACCCTTCTGTTAATCGCCGATTCCTACGAAACTTAATTAGAGCCTCCTTCTGTTTGGCAACCTGTAGGGCCTCCACGGGCGATGTAGGGTTAGTTTCAATGACCCTTTCTCTGAATTCGTCATGCAGTAACCCTTCTGCGAACTGGTGGAGAATACGGGAGTTGATCTCGGTTGATGTATCTCCTTCGAAAGCCAAAGGGGCCAACTCTTGAAGGCGCCAGAGGAATTCCTCTGTACTTTCGCCACTTTGCTGGACACATGCGTGGAATGCAGCCCGCTGCCCGAGAACATGGGTATGCGGCGCAAATGCTCGACGCATAGCTGTAAATAGTTCCTCCACTTCCATCGTCTTGTCAGTGTCGACGCCAGCTAGCTTGAGACGTTTTAATGCAGGTATCGATAATAAACAGATGATAGCACTAGCTCTTTGTTCTTCATCAAATTATTGTATATAGCGACGACACTGTTCTTCCCACAATGTGAACGATTCCCCAGGAACAAACTTTTCCGGTGCTGGAAATTTAACGTTCGGTTTGTTGCTGGAGGACGATGTAAGTGTATTAGGCGTCATCAATGCTATTCTGAACGCCACGACCATTGCTTGTATCATATCCGGAGCAGGCGTAGAGGTAGACGTTGTTGTTGGGGTTGATGATCTCACCGGTGGTGCGCTGTTACAATATTATGGATCAAGGGCGTTCGCGTTGTCAGGAGATTCGAGGTCCTTAACTTCTCGCTTGAGTTTGCGCGAGTTGGGTCGGCTCGCCATGTTCTGTAATAGAACAACACAAGCAATTATACAGGTCAAGCACGCAGGGTAGAGCGGAGAAGCAGAACACGACTTGGGAAAAAGCACTTTATAATTGACACTGAATTACACCAACAGAAGTCCAAAAATTATATACATGCAGATACAAAGAGCTAGGCTATTACAGTTCAGCGTCCACCGGTTTTTGAACTGATGCTTCCTTTCAAATTTGAACCACTACAACCAGTGCAATATTTTAAAAATGCGTCAAGGTCAGTGCCGGCTTCATTCTGTTTAGTACTTTGGGTCCATTTTGGAGACAAGTATCAAAAGGCTGTATGCATTTAGTATTAGTTACATCAATATCTCTTGTGGTGACCATCATTTAATAAATATTGGGGGTTTATTACGTGTTGCATCAGAAACATATGTCAAACATGTTATTCTGATTAGGGACTTTTATATCACCCACGAATTGTACTATCTCAGTCTGCAGCCTTGTCTGGTTTTACCAAACAGAGAAGTATTTTCTAATTCGTAGTCATCTCCCATTTCACTGGATGAAATAAGATGCTCGTCTCATAATCGAATATGGACGCGTAGAACACGTGCTTGCACCTGCGTATATGGGTATCAACCATTTCTTCATTTCAGTAGTCTTTGAAACTGCTGGGAGTGTGTTAGCGTTACCTTCCCCTAGTCCTGTCCAGGTTTTTGAAACCGCCTGCTACTATCTGGAGCTTTTGGGTTCATTTATGTATGGTGTTCCTTGATCCGAATTAGTAGGCCATCGGTAATGATGAGAATCTTATTGTCAGGCATCTTGTTGGATACTTAACTAAGACCCGTAAAGGCTGCATCGAAAGGTTTTCGTAATTCTTTTTACTTTGTTTCCAAATAGGAATATTTATATATGTTTACACTTATATATTCTTGGTTTACTTTTCGATTGTTTGCTGATACAAAAAGGCATAAATCTTCACACTAATCGAGTTTTTCATGTGTACCCGAAACAAGCGTTCTAGAGCAGACGAAACCAGCCAAACTAATAACTAAATTTTGTTTTACGAGTTGATCACGGACTGATATCAGTTAGAGAACCATTGAAAACCAGGGAGTACTGGACAGCTGCTGTTTCATCCTAGTTTGGGAATCATCGGCAGTACGCACCCACACTGTGGGTTTCGAACCCAGGACCTTCCGGTTACAAGGCAAGCTCGTATACCATTCAGCCACTGGAACCCGACTCAATTGCTCATGAATTCTAACTTCTACCAATTCGTGATTTTAGCGCGACCCCAAACATTGTCGTTGGTGGGACATCCATCCACACACGTGACATCTAATTGGACCTCACTGGTCACAACTTCTCACGAGCTTGCCTTGTAACTGGAAGGCCCTGGGTTCGAATCCCAGTGCGTACTGCCGATGATTCCCAAACTAGGATGAAACAGCAGCTGTCCAGTACTCCCTGGTTTTCAATGGTTCTCTAACTGATATCAGTCCGTGATCAACTCGTAAAACATAACTAATCCTTACAAACCAAACTATAGAAAATTAAATTTTGTGTTATCCTGACGCTTTTTATATACGGTGGTGCGTTGTCAATAACCAGTGTTTAGCAGCTCCATCGAAAAAGTTATAGTTAACCAGTCATTACCAATCGATGCATGTAAGCTCATTCCAACGGGGTATTGTCAGCATAGATCAAAAATGGCAGGGATTATAGGATTTTTGTTAGAACCTGCTGATAAAGAGGGTAGATGTGTTGAGGGAAACCATATTTAGCATGACTAGTCGGTGACGTTAAAAGGGAGTAAATGTGTTTAACAATTACCAGTAAAGTGCTTAAAAGGACCAGGTTTTTGCGTTGTGTCGTAATTTGTGAAACCATCTCTTGAAGTCTATATACTGTCATATTTTCTTCGAAAAAATATCATCAGAAAAAAAACTACATGATGAATAGTGTAGTTCTCAAGTACACATAAGTGCGGATGGTTCCTGAGTGGTGCTAAGTTAGTGTTTAAGTAGTTCAGCTGATGGTTGGAATACTGCCTAATGAGATTTCGAAAATCAATTAGTATCTCCAGTTATTGGAAATTCGGTGTAGTCCAATGTATAGTACACAGAAATGCTCGTGATTTATAGATTTCACTGTTGCGTTCATTTTGTCTATGTAGATTGTCCTAATTTTGTTAACTAATGAACGGTTTATAACAATTAATTGCTGATAATAGGGTTGTAGTCAGTACCAGTTTGTTTATTCTAAATACCTGCTATCTGTTTAACTTATTTCCGACTGTTTTTTCTATTAATTCAAATAGTCTTCTAGGTCATGTGATTAAAAATGAATCGAAGAAACGTTGTCATCTCTTCAAATTGTACAAGGCGTTCTACTCGGATTTCCCGTCCAGCTTGTGACGTTCCAAAAGTTTCTGGATGCAAAACGTCATCTAAGAAACAAGATAAGTGGAACCTAGATATACAAACTGACTGTGGTAGTCAACAAGCTCCTTCTCATCTACAGAAACAGTCACGAAAGTGTAGTAGGCGATCCAATCGCAGAACGACAGCGAGAGAGTCAAGTCTTCTGAAGGGTAGGTCGCACATTGCAGAGGATGTCATTTCTGAAAATGGTGACAGTTCGTTGACAGATAACCATTTAGAAGTGAAAAGTAACTTTGGTAGTTCGGATGATTTTGAATCTGATTTTCTAAGTGATGATAAGTTGCCCAAAAAAAAGAAAACAGCTAACTTGCTCCTGTTTTCGGAGTTCAAACCTAAACATAGACAGAAAAGAACAACAAAATCACTGAAGAAAGCTAATGTACCTGAAGATCCTCATTGCAACTTAGAAAGCGATTCAGATGATGAAATCGACTGGGTTGAAGTGAATGATGAAGCGACCACCGAGGTAGAGTTCATGAATAAATTGCTAAGTTGCAATACAAATACTGTATCTAAAGAACTTGAAGAGATAAATTCTACACCACTAACTATAGCTGTTCCTCTTGCAAGTGCTTCCAAAAAGCATTCTAAACAAGATCCAAAACTTCTTGAAGCACTTGCATTAAGACGCAAAATAAAAGAACACTACGCATTAAAGCATTTAGTTCATGTACTATGTTTTCTTGCCCATAGTCGTGTGGTGAATCAGGCTTGTGACAGCTGTTTATGTCAGGCGTTGGGTCTTTCACTTCTGGCTAAGACTAATTCAGTGTACAATCAAAAGACGAAACAATTCATTCAGTTATCTCTGTGGTCAGTGGAGCATTTAGAAGCGTGTGTTGTTACATTTTTATCTCATCAGGGAGTGCAACTACTTAATGAAGGAAATTCACCTGGTAATTATGAGTATCAGCTTGTTCATCGTCTGTCAGAGTATACGGCAACTGCAGGGGATTGTCTCATACTTCTTGTTGCAGCTCTTCGTTCACTTGGACTCGATGTACGGGTGATTCTTGGTCTGTCTCCACTGCCTTTATTACCCAATGAAGCCACTACCATTAGTCCTGCTACTGCAACTAAAGAAGTTAAACCAATTAAACAAAAGAAGTCCAATCGCAAAATCATCTCTTCGGATGAAGATGACATATTTGACGCAGATGTGAATAGTGACTCACCTGCTGATAACTTAAAGCCTGGTATTTCTTTATTTGCTGAAGTATTTCTACCGAAGCTAGATCGTTGGGTGTGTATTGATCCGTCGTCTCTGCCAGGTGTTGTGGATAAAATAAATTTTAAACATGGCTTTTTGTATGTTATCGGTGCTTGCTCTGTAAAGTCAGCAGATCCCAATTTGGTATCTTACGTCGGTAGGAATCCTGTTGATTTGTCTCCACGTTATGTTCAAGATTGGTGTGTTTCTGCTCGCAGTCATCGTATATCTGCAGAGAAATGGGATAGTTTGCTGAATATGCAAAGCCGATTTTTCGACTATGATGCTGTTGAACACGATGCATTAGTAGTGAGGTCAGATACACTCTCCACTGCTCAACGAGATAGAATGGATAAAGATTCAATAAATGCTAAACTTTTATCCCAACCTCTGCCAAAGCGTATACAGGACTTTAAAAATCACCCACTATATGTTCTCCAACGTCATTTACTCAAATTTCAAGTTATTTATCCGACTGATGCAATCCCTTTGGGATTCTTTAACAATGAACCAGTTTATTCTCGTGATTGTGTTCACCTCTGTCATACTAGAGAGTCATGGCTGAAAGAAGCAATGGTACGTTCATATTTCTAATTGTTTCTCTTCTATGGAAATCTAACAGATTATTAAGTTGGAACTAGTTAAGGCACAGGGCCTCCAATCACGTTTTAGTTACCTATGTATAACTTGCAGTGGAAGTAAAAATTGTAACATCCTTGGAAGTTCTGACCTAAACAATCTAATTTTGGAAAGATTTACTATTTATGCCATGGGTCATGGGTATTCCCTGTCATTTCACTTGTGAAAGAACTATTGAAATTGACCGCTTGTTGATTATTCGAAGAGTAGATTCGTGCATCCTTAAAAAATTGCCTTATACTACTGAGAAAACTAGCATCAATTGGTATATGTGAACAGAAACAAACAAAACAGGAAAATAAGATATTAGTAATAATGAAGTCGTACAACAGAATAACTATAGGGTTCCCTTTAGCTTGTAGCAGTATTCAAGTTGCACCAAGAAACATCTCAAGATAATCGAGCGTGTTTCATCTTTAGTGAAAATACCTTGCTGTCCCTAAAGAGCACAATTTCAAAAAATGTCCTCGATTCGTCCTCATCAAGAGTTACTAGTGCGTTTCGAGATATTCTTTATCCAGAGGTAGGCCTATAGGATATTTAGGTAGTGGTTTGTAGGGATTTGATTACAGGATTTTATCATGAGCTGACATCGGTCAGGGAACCAGTGGAAAACCTTGGAGTACTGGACAGCTGCTTCGCCCAAGTTTGGTACTCTTCAATGGCACGCAACCACTGGGGTTCCAACACAGTTTGTTTGTGGTATATTTTTTCCTCAATATCTGGAACCTCTTCTCTTTTAGTATTATAGTTTATAATTGTTATTCAGGCAATCATAATGGATAGCTTGTTTCAATCTATACACGTGTGCAGCTTTATGTCCCATATCACATCTTTTAAAAACAGAATCCAAGTACAGGGTCATGTAGTAGTAGATATATCACATAATGTGAGGTAGCCAGTGATAAATAGTAATAATAATAATAATAATAATCACAATGAAATACATTTATTTAGTACGGGTTTTCTACGTCACAGACGTTCATCTCTTTGATAAATCCGTGTTTGTAATACTACCAGGTTTTTCAGGATGAAGTATGAGAAATATACGTGGAGTTTGCAACCAGTTAGTCATGTTAATGTAGCTACGTTTTCATCTTGTCACTGACAGTATACAATCAAAATCTCAGATTCTGGCTTATGTATCTGTGGCTGCTTAAATCAATAATCTACTCATAGACGGATAAACTTTACTGTAAAGTATACTGAACTGCTACCTGCAAAAGTAAACTATAATAAAGCATATTTATTCTCTCATTTCTTTATTCTTAGGTAGTTCGTGAGCATGAAAAGCCAGCAAAAATTGTTAAAGCTCGATTATCAATGAAACGTAAATTATTACAGGGTTCTGATTCTACACCACCAACTACTGAAGTTTTTGGTCCATGGCAAGTTGAACCATATGTACCACCGGTAGCTGAAAACGGTATCGTCCCACGTAATGCCCACGGAAATGTAGAGTTATTTAAACAATGTATGTTGCCAGTAGGCTGTGTACATATATGCTTATCGGGTAAGTGTGATAACGTCTAATTTTCAACTCGTGATTTAATATGTTTAGTTGTGGTGTACTAGATATGTCTATTGATCGTGTGAAGCATTTTTGAATATTTTAACTAAGAAATCCACTATTATCAAAACACTAACTTGGTACATAATGGTTCTCAAGAGATGTTCCACACAAAATCATATAGTCTCTGCGAGAGTGGGGATGCTTCCCGGACGCCCAAATCGATGTAGATGGTTGTCCACGTGCCTTTGACATGAAGTTTGATCGACAAGGTAGTGAAGCAGCTTCAGCAGCTCTAGATTCCTATAGATTTCGGTGGCCAAAACAGGTTCATACGCCATTCTATCCTTTCGGATTCTGGAGCGCATGTACACCGTAGGTTTGAAATCGGAGTTTTCCGTCCGCCCACAGTAGGCCAGAATGTCAAACCAGTCCGGTTGTAAGCACCAGACATTGGAATTCGCCCTTTCACTTTTGTGAGGAAGACTCCAGCGCGTGAATGCAGTGAATAGGACTTACCTGGCCTGACTGAGGGAGGCTATGAAAGTGTGGCCACATGTGAGAATTTCGAAAGACCGAAGTCTACCCACTGTCAGCCGTACCAGGTCGTTTGTGGGGTCGGCAAAAAGATTCATTTGCAAGATGTCAGAGGGGAAATTAGGTTGGATTGTTTCAAAGGACGTAGACAGTAGGTCAGATGCGCATGGTGTGAGACAGATGAGAATATAACCTCAAGATATTTGAGTGCTCTGTGTTTCTCTCAAAGGAAAAAGCCTGTTCAGTCTGACTATCATTTGTACCAAATTTCAATACTTTAGAAACAACTAGCCCATCTAATAAATACGTCTATAAGAAAAGTTCTTGTGTTTTGAAAAAGTGACGTCTGTATAGTACATCTCATACCGTGTATTCACTTGTCAAGCAGTATTTCTGTATACATGTAACTGTAATGATATTTTCGGCTCTGAACAACAATGAAATTTAGGATGCGGATCAAGTAAAACAGTTATTCTAATAGAAAATGTGTAGACAAAGAAGACAAATGAAGAGAGAACAATACATTTCAACATACTTTGGGTATATTTTATTAGTATAGAGATTGCTGAGATAATGCATTAAGCAAAAGAAAAGTCTTTTTGTGGACATGTCGATTTTGTAATCTATTACTGTCATTTATTTGACTTCATATAACGACTGTCATCTGACACCAGTTATTATTATTATTGAAGGTCGAACTAAGTAGTGCCTCTTGGTATCTATCACTTACTGCACGCACCATAAGAATCACGCTAATACTAAAGATATTGAATAAACACCTACAGGCACCTATTATTTGATGAATGGTAAGACCGCTGATGTGGTTCATTGTCTTGGACTATCGGGTGGCGACCTGGCTCACTAGCTTAAGCGTCCAGTTTCCACTCAGTGGGTCTCGGGTTCGAATCCCATTCTATCTACCCCTGCCTGGGCAACTGAGCAGTATCACCAACCCTCACACAATAAAAAGTTTGACTTATTGCCTGGAACATGAAATGCCTGTTCTGAGGACCGAGTTTAAAAATCAGGTTTCAGTTTCGAATCGTGCCCCACCCACTTCAGTCTGCACAAATGGATGGTATCATCAGCTGTCACATCGTAGCTTTATAGCCTGGTACATGAAGAACCTATTCAGGGGAGTTAAGTTCGAATAAGGCTATGATACCATTGGTGAGAAAAGTTAACTTTGAACCTGTATCAAAGTTCACACGCTGCTTCGCTTATTCGTGCTTAAATAGACAGCATCATTATAATGAAAGATGAAAAATTATTCTAAATAATCTACCGAAATGTAGCATGCAAATCGCTTGCAGTTAGCACACATCAGTGTTGTGATTTTCTAGAGTCGGAGGCAAAACTTCCTACTTTCTATGTATCAAGGATTAAAGATCACAGTGCGAGCATCTAATTCCTATGATATCAAACTGCATGATTTTAAGTCTCGTTAGTTGTTAGATTAGGTAATTACTTTAAAGTCTTCACTTCATAACATGTGAGTTTCCTACACACTATCTTAATGCTGACGTTAAAGTTATTATTTCTCGTGCAGCCTCATACTCATAGTTCATTTGGTTAAGCAACTGAAGAATATTAGGAGCCGCATTCTTATTATTACTGGTGCTCAAAGTTCGTACGTTGTTTCTCTAGATCTAGTAACCATGTGAATCGCAATTGGAGTGAGATTGGCAAATCCCATGGGTTAACACTAAACTGAATAATCACCTTAGAACTTAGCACAAAAATGCAGCAGTTCAAGTTGTCACACTTCGTTAAGGCACACATGAAAATGAAAACTCGTCAAAAGTTCTTACATGGCTGCATGAGTTTGTGTAGGCATTGTCACAATACCTGTGAATCAAGGGAATCAAACACCTCCCTAAAGTCATGAGATATGGCAAGTGTTGAGCGCAGGTATATGTGCCTATGATCCAGAACCTTCTGAAGAGTGGAGTCATGAACCCACAATTGTCCTAGGGCTCCGTTGGTTTTATCAGGTTTAAAGCAATTAGTTCCCTTTATGAATTTTGACAACACAATAGGTAGATGTCAAGCTGGTTTCACTGTGATTGTCACTGAGAAATTTCTCTCATGTTTCTTTTAAATCGGAGTAGTCAGCAACCTACATTAGCCCAGTAGGAACATTTCGGCATTCCATATCCCTTAGTCAATCTTGTCAATAATTCATCACATCCTATCAGGTCCTATGTTTCGCTGCTTAATAGGTTAAAAGACAGCACTCACAACCGCAGCTGCAGTTGGCAGATAAATTGCAACATCTTGTTTAGGTAGGGTTTGGGTGGTGAGTAGCTGAAGTGTTTCTGTAGGCCGCTTGAACTGATCATCAAATGTTCTATCCAACGTTTTAACCTTTTCTCCTGAGAATTCATTGGAGTTCTGTTCTTCTGGGAAATCATTTGTGATTTGGTTGTGTTATCAGTGCTGGTGGATTTAATTGCTCGTCAACGTCTTCAGTGCAACTCATTCTCCTAATGAGACAAAGTAGTTGATGGGTAATATCGGTGATATTATTTCTAACACTTCGCTTCACAATCGTTGCAAAAACTTTTAGTCAGTCAGCGTGTATGAGTTGAGAATTCCTAAGAATAAAAACATGAAGACAAAATAATGATAATTAGAAATTAGTGTGCAGTAGAAGATAAATGCAGTTCACGCCATTTTAATGCCTTTCGAAGGGGTATCACTCTAGGTCACCGAAATGACTAACGATTAATATGTTGGAGATTTATATTACATTGTTTTTTTTTCAATGGAATCATGGAGAGTGTAATACGGGATAATAAATGAACTGTGGTAGGTTCGTGTATAGGTCCAAGTTCGGTCATATATATCTGTCATCAAGTAACAGTTTTATGTAACCTCTCAATTACTACTTAATCCATCTCATAGTAACTTTACTAATTAATTTGGTTTCATGTAGATTTGGACTTATATCTTATCATTATCTAATTCTGTGTCTTAACTTGATTGGGTTCCATTTTCCCTCGGATTCAATCAGTTACTAATAGAAATAATACAAAACTCAGAAGTACAATTTGAATTCTTTAGTTAATTTTTGGTGTTTATCAGCTTGATCGGTTTAGTTTAATTTTGATTAACACTTAGGGTGAGCAATTTGAACTTAATAGCGAGTTGTTTATCTAATGGAAAATTAATGTATGTATCTATTAGCACATTCCTTTCAAAATATTTTCTCTGTGTGGAAATTTGTTTCTTTTTATATTTTTATATGAAGGCATTCAGCATGTCGCTAAAAAACTTGGCATTGATTGTGCAGAAGCCATTGTCGGTTGGTCATTTCATGCAGGCGGTTGGGCTCATCCAAAAACGGAAGGTTATGTTGTTTGTAAAGAATCTGTGCCAGTTTTAATTGATGCATGGCGTGCAGAGCAAATGAATGCAGCCAAAGCAGCGAACGAAGAACGTACAGAACGTGCACTAGAAAACTGGAAACGTTTAGTTCGTGGAATTTTCATATGGCATCGAGTTAAAGCGCAATTCGCTTTGGCTCCCTTGCATAGTGAACGAGCCACTGTTGAAAAATTTGAAAAAAGCAAGAAAAACAAGGCTGCAACCATACACACTAATGATATAAGTACTATTTCATATAAAAAAGAGGCATTAACTCAGTCGTCTGCTGATTTTGATATCTCGCAAAAAGCATATGCAAGTGAAGGATGGATACGTTTAGGTGCTGCTGATAAAGCACATTTGTTACCTAAAATACCCGTAGATGTTAAAAAGTGCGTTCCTAAACGGCGTAATCCAACTAGAGCAAAACGCAAAGCGCATAAGTACGAGGAATCTTCTAGTGAAGAGTCTGATACACAAATACCGAGTACTAAAGATGATGATTCAGCCCATGAATTTGTGGATGAAGACAGTTTCAGTCAATAGGTATGTTCACAACTTTTTATGCATTTTTTTATGAAACAAGGTGTTTGTTTCTCCATTACTGTTTTTAACCTCGTATAAAAAAATTTTTGTTTCTGTATGGAGATTGTTTTCTCACTGATATATCCGACATCAACGTGATCACACCCGCGTAGAGCAAGGGTTCAACGATCCGTATTGGATAGTAAAATTATTCCCAGATGTCCTACTTTGTCGTAAGGATCATTTAGGCAACAACTGGAGTCAGAAGTTGCGACTATAATTTAAGTTACTCAAACCATGGGAGAAACCGTAAAATAAAGTTACTCTGCTGGTGGATAGTGATGGGACAACAGTGAAAGTGTTACATTCAAACTACTAGCAAGCCAGTTATACCACCTCGTCACTCTGCTGGATAAGAGTTGTAAAAGGTAGATACAAAATTGTACTTTTTGACTTTTTCTGCTATTTTTCGTTGTTTGTAGTAATGTTCTCTGTACCCAGATATCTCCACTATATATCATACCTTCTAACTTAGAGTGTGTGACAAAGCTCAATCAGACATCTCCTGTGCTTTTCGATAACATAAAATTAGTTTGATTTGTACTCTTTTAGCAGGATTCCCATGTATTCTGCAGATAACTTTGAAGTTGTTTTGCGGGTTTGCTTGGTATCCTGATTCGGTCAGGTGTTCTAGAATAGATCTTCGAGGAGGGGGGAGGACCTTTTTTTCAATGATACGTTTGGATAGCGAACATTAGGTACGGCCAGCATACCTAGTTCCACACGAGCAGGTGAATTGGTAGATACAAATTGGTGAAACCAACAATGGTAGCTTATCCTTCACGTTCATGCGAATCATTGGTTTCGTAGAGAAGGTAAGTCGGGATTCAGCCGCGAAGAAAGTTTTCTTCAGTGAGCGGGACAGGCGGTGTCTCAATATTTCTGCCGATGAGTCTCCATTAAATTGTAGATTTAGGTAGAGACGTTTTTTGGGAGCAGAAAGTGTGAGCGATTTTGGTGGTTTAGGTTTCATAGATTTTGTGATAAAACGTTCTGGGTAGCCATTTTCGAGAAGGATTCTGTTCAGTGTTTAGCTCCTGTTTCATACCATCAGGACTGCAAATACTGTGAATTCTGTGGCTCAGTGAACGGACCAGGTTTCGTTTTCTATATAGGGACACCCAGCTGTGAAAGTTAGTCAGTTTTTCGTTCTATGTCGGCTTTCTGTAGATGGATCTTTTTAGTGTTCCATCTTGTTCACATCTTGTTAACTGGACATCCAGAAAATCAGCTGTCATTTTGTTTTGAGTACTTCAAGAAGAAGTCAACTTCCACTGTATGGGAATTCGAGATGTACACACTATGTGCATTTGTAAACAAACAAAACTAATGTACTTATCAATTAGTCTCTTTATCTTCTTCCCTTTTTCAAAATTCATCACTTATTCCCACTGCTAATACTATACTTCTGCAGTCCCTCCATTACTCAAGTTCAAGATCATTGGTAACGACTTAGGCGTGCGAAACAGCTGTGTTTTCCGTTTGGATTTAACCGCAAAATTATGCAGTCAGAGTTAATAGGTAAAGAAATTAGTTAAAGGATGCACACAGATAAAGCTTTAAAAGAAGGTCCATATATTCCCCAACCTACACATAAGACAAAAAACTAGTGATTACAATACTCTGCTACTAGATTACAGTTTGGTTAGGACGAAGATTAATGGTGACTGTTCATATTCAAACCCATCGTTTCTATTTCACATGTGATGAAGACAAAACAACAGTACAGAAACATACCGTATTTTAGAGAAAAAATAGAATATGGTATCATTATTCTCTACAGTGAGATGAAAAGTAAAAATGTTTTTGTTATGTGTAATCGATTACCTGAACTTTCAATTTCTTACCATTTTCATTTTTAGGTTTTCAGTGTAACAATTATGTTATTGTACTTATTTTAGTATCTATAAAATTCTTACTGTAGATTAATTCTTTTCTACTCTTTCTTTCAGAAATAAGTTTAATTTAACACCATTGGATGGGAAAAAGAATAGTCTCTTGCATTAACAAAGTATATTTTATCACTATTTTTCTTCTGTCCGTACTACTTCTCACACTTGTATTAGTCACTGACCAAATAACGTTGCATTTATGTATACATTCAATACATTATTTGACTACTTTATCCCATATTTTTGGTGGTCATCTTAAAAATTTTGATTTTCACATAGAGTCACTTTTCAGATTCTTTCATTTTTCCTTTCTTAAACTGAAGATGTTTATCAGCTGACGTTTTCGTCAAAGCAAGAAGAACAAGATTTGCAAGATTATGTGTGCATCATCGTATTCCGAAGCTTCTCTTCAACTGTAGACAGTCCAAAATATACACTAGAATTAATATGAAATAAGAACATGTGTACATGTTTTCATTCTACTGAGTAAAAAGTCAGGGATGAGAATCGTAATTCTTATTTGACTACTCCTATGTATATTTTAGGCTGTCCGCAGCTGAAGAGAGGTGTTGGAATAAAATGTGCACATTTTATCCTGCAAGTCTTGTCCTTGCTCTGAAGAAAACGGTCAAACAAAACGCATTTTATGACTGTTGACTGTTTTTTCTCTCCATTGATTTAACCATTTTACTATCATTTTTATTTACCTTTCCACTTATCACTAACACAGATATACTACTATCCAGTTGCATTTGCCCCCCTCCATCTCCCACTTATTTTATATATTTTATGGGTTGGTTTTTTTCTTTGTCCACCCTCGCGCCACTATCCAAGTTTTTTTTTATATACATATATTAAAGACTTTATATTTGATTGATAGGTGAGTGTATTGTTTTGTCTTATAACGTTTGAGGTAAAGATTGAATAAATTGTATACACAGGTGAGATAATAAAAAAACACGTTATACGATATGATTTTTAATACTTCTGTTGTCATATGATGTACTGTCGTGAATGTGTTATCTTATATGTTTGAGTGGTGTTTATGAGACAGATATATTTTTTTTACATATACATCATCATCAGTTTTTCTTACTAACATAATATTGTTCGAATTGAAAAGCGTGTTTTGCACTTCATATACCCGATGCACTCAAATTACAAGGTATATTTCACTAGTTGTGGAGAACAAATGGTACAGACCGCGTTAATGATATTATTTCATATGACAGTATACCTGAAGTAAGCTCACTTCACATTAGATAAGTTTATTGGACACAACGGATAGTAATACAATACTAATAACTGGATGGCGTCTCGAGCACAATTTATCGCTCATAGTCAAATCAATGTATCATTGACACAACTTCCTGATTTACTTTACATATTTAAAAAAATCCTACTCCATGTTTAATAATGTAATTATTCATAAATCTGGAGTTGGTGTTGCATCACTTATATTGCATTTGTTTCTTGTTGATATGATGAACAAAGATTGGATGATTAACCTCTCTCTCTCTCTCTTTCTTCACCTATGTATTTGATCTCATAGTCCTTATATCACATTATTCTGTCTAGTTTGTTCTATTGGATCTTTAAATCATCAAAGTTTATTTCTGAGCGTGTTGGGTAGGTTAAATGTCACTCAGACTTATTGGGGATCCTGTTCCGATGTAGCTTTACATTACTTATTACCTACTTTATAACTATCATTGGCATTTATTCTTATCATTATTTGTTCCTTGCGTTCCAAGTGGAACAAAGAGCCTCAGTAGCACATCTGCATTGCACTCTGTTCTCTGCCGACACTTTCATCTGCCTCAACGACTACCAACAAGCTTTCATTCCCTCTTCACATCATCTTCTCCATGTCATCCTATGGACGCCCAACTCAAGGCTTCTTCATTTGTGTTCTATTCGACAATGTGGCGTGTGATGTCACTTGGATATATCTCCTCAGTGTATGCTCACTACACTTCCGTCTCCTTTTGTACGTTTATTGGACGATAGGTTCTTGGCTGGTTCATTTCCAGAGACCACTTGCGTTGCTACCCCAGTTTTCCTAATGAGTCTTAACAAATATTTTTTTTTTTAAGTGGATAGCTACACAGCAGCAATTGTTCCTTATTTTAATTTTCTGACTAAACGATCAAACTCCGGACTGGATATCATCAACATTGAAATAAACCCTTTTTCACTGATTTACATTGAGAAGACTCAAAATCTGAATAATTATCAGTGTGATAGATTTTACGAATGCTGGTATCTGGCCTACTCTACCAGATGGAATTCCTCCAAAAGCACTGAAGATGTACCCAGAAACCTCAGAGGACATGCCTACGCCACTACTGCAGAAGATGTGGATGGAAGAAATGGTGGGTGTTTGCCAGTTGAAAGAAAGACTACCTCATCAAATTACCGAAAACTGAGGGACTGACGGCTATAAACGAACGAGTGCAGAATCATGCTGCTGTCCACGCGAAGCAAAATACTAGGCCACATCATACTAGAATGATCAAAAGATATTTTGGGTGGAAAACTTCGTTTGGAATAAGTCGAACTCAGAAAAGACAAATCATATGTCGATCAAGTTGCAGCACTACGGATCGTCGTTTAACAAAGTCCGAACTGGCAGTCAATTCTATACTTCAATTTCATCGGGTTTGGCGTCGGCTGTGAAATAATTCGGGAACTGCTGCTGCTGGATTCAACATAGAACTTGGCACCGAAGTGCAGCAGTTCGAGTTGCCACGTTCCAAAGAGCACACAAAAAGGTAGACAAGAAAATGAGTGAAGAGAATCAATAGAGTTTAGACAAGTATAGGAGTGAAACAGAATGAGTAATGGTAGAAAGGAATATGAAAGATTACAGAGACTGAATACATCTGCGCCATTGACAACGATTCGGGAACTGCTTCAAAACTATGGAGGGCGGTACCTTAAAAATTTATAAGTCTCTTTAGAAAGCTACACTTTTATGCCACATGCCAAGTAATTCACGACCGGAAGCTCACTGAAGACATGAGTAAGAGAGGAATGCCTATTATCATCGAACATCTCCCGAGTTGTAGTGCATTGGGTCATTCAGGAAACGGTGGAAGTGGCAAGACGAATGCATGTTGGACAGACAAAAGACTTCGTGGGTGACTTGTGTCGTAACGCAGAAACTGGCAAGTATACCAGTTAAAACGAACAAGTTGGTAGAAGAGGTAGTGAAGGCAGGATTCAGGTGAACATAGAGAAGAATATAGGCGATGAAGATGGCCAGCCAGTATCACCAACAAATAATGATTATCTGTGAGGGGAATGTGTAGGAAACCGTCTTTCTTTTACCTCAGCAGCATCGTTCAACAACAGGCGCAGCTGGGCATATCTAGGCTACTTAGGATAGATTGAAAAAAGCAAAACAAGCATTCATTACTCGGGAATCAATGTGTAGATCCGCAACATTTAGCACAGGTAGCAAGATCCGAATTCTCAACACCAATGTAAAGTCATTGCTGTGATTTAGTGACTTGGCAGTGGCATCCCGAGAAGCCTTTCCAAAAAACTTTTCAAATTTCCGCCAACGGGTGCCGTTGTAGGATGCCAAAGACGGTTTGACCTGCTAAAAAGGATAAGTAACAAGAGACTCTGACAGGTGGCAAATATGCTGGGAACCTACTGCCCGAAAGACATACACAGAGAAACGGAGATGGATTGGACATATACTGAGGAGATATTCAAGTGACATCACCACCCCAATTCTGCATATGCAGAAAATTGCATTAATAAACATGAGTTAGTAAAACTGTGTATTGAAGGTTAGAAATACTTTAATGTGGTTATTGAGCTGGAAACGCCATCCAGTTATTGGTGCTGTGTCACTGTGTTATATCACCTGAACCGATCTGAAATATAATTGTATTCTGCCAAATTCTCCTGTGGAGTAAAGTTATATTGGCCAGGTTAATGCCTTATGCTTAACTTTGTGACCATTATTCATTAGTATAGGCGCAATGGAACTGTGAGTTTTGTTTCTTCTAAAACAGTAACCATTCATTTTATTTGGTGCTTTACTTTCTACTGTTGTTCTAACTTCGAGAGTGCCATGGTCCACTGGTCAAATTGCCTTTGGTTTCAATATATGTGTAAAACTTGAACACTGTGGTAGTAAGCAACTCCATATTAGTCTGTTTATTAGATATATCACACAGTGAAACAGTATTATTTACTGGATGACGTTTCGAACAAAATTTATTGTTCATAATCATATCAATTGTGATCACACGACTTTGACACTTGAGTTTTATAGTTTTCTTTGTTCTCTCCTATTTGTCGTATGGGTATTAGAATTTTCCAGATATCGGGGACAGGTGATGAATCATTCCTATTACATGTATTTGTAGTTGATTCGATAAACAAAGCTTCTGTTATCAATCTCTCCCTATACCCTGTGACATTAGATTTTAAAACTGTCATGCTATCGCATCCTATTGTATGGTTGTGTTACTGCATGGATTGCTATAGCTGAACTATTCTCTAGATTTCTTATTTTATTCGGGTCAACCAATCTAGATTTTGCTAAGTTTTCATGTTCAGCTAGTCTGACTGCCCCTGTTCTACTAGTTTGACCTATGTATTTGACCTGACAATCATTGCAGGGTATTAGGTAAAATAAATTGTTTTGTTTTAAAGGCTCTACAGGATCCTTTAACCGACAAAGCTTGTTCCTAATTGAGTTTGTGGGTTTGAATGCCGTTTTTATTCCTGCCTTGTTAAGAATTCTGAGTAAGGCTTCCGAGGTTCCTTCCTTGTATGGAATTACTACTGATGGTTTAGATTCTTTATTGTTGGTGTCGTCATTAATATTATTATTATCACTCTTAACATTATCTTTATTATTGGTATTATCACTGTCGCCACTATCATTATTTATTTTATTTTTACATTTCCTTACATATTTGTGCGTCGGTGACACAGTGGTTAGGACTCTCGCTGACCATGCACATGGTCCGGGGTTCGATCCCCTGCCGGCGCACACCCGATATCTATGGTCGGCCTGAATTTGGGCTAACCGATATCCATGCTGAAAATTCCATACTTGTACTGAAAATACGGTGTGGAATCAAGCTGTAAATCAAAAATAAAATAAAAGAAATAAATATTTCCTGACTAATTTATCCGGGTAATTATTAAGTTTCAAGGCTTCTTTTATGTGTATCAGTTCCTGTTTTAGATTTTCTTTGGTACTACTTAGTTTTTGTGCTCTGTCATTTAAACATCTTACCAATCCTATTTTTACTGACATTGCTTCAACCTTCGAGTTGATGTGTTCGAAAAACCTATCTATATCTTGTGTTTTAAGTACAGTGAATGTGTCATTTACATACACATTCACTGTACTTAAAACACAAGATATAGATAGGTTTTTCGAACACATCAACTCGAAGGTTGAAGCAATGTCAGTAAAAATAGGATTGGTGAGATGTTTAAATGACAGAGCACAAAAACTAAGTAGTACCAAAGAAAATCTAAAACAGGAACTGATACACATAAAAGAAGCCTTGAAACTTAATAATTACCCGGATAAATTAGTCAGGAAATATGTAAGGAAATGTAAAAATAAAATAAATAATGATAGTGGCGATAGTGATAATACCAATAATAATGTTAATTATAATAGTGATAATAATAATAATATTAATGACGACACCAAAAATAATGAATCTAAACCATCAGTAGTAATTTCATACAAGGAAGGAACCTCGGAAGCCTTACGCAGAATTCTTAACAAGGCAGGAATAAAAACGGCAGTCAAACCCACAAACTCAATTAGAAACAAGCTTTGTCGGTTAAAGGATCCTGTAGAGCCTTTAAAACAAAACAATTTATTTTACCTAATACCCTGCAATGATTGTCAGGTCAAATACATAGGTCAAACTAGTAGAACAGGGGCAGTCAGACTAGCTGAACATGAAAACTTAGCAAAATCTAGATTGGTTGACCCGAATAAAATAAGAAATCTAGAGAATAGTTCAGCTATAGCAATCCATGCAGTAACACAACCATACAATAGGATGCGATAGCATGACAGTTTTAAAATCTAATGTCACAGGGTATAGGGAGAGATTGATAACAGAAGCTTTGTTTATCGAATCAACTACAAATACATGTAATAGGAATGATTCATCACCTGTCCCCGATATCTGGAAAATTCTACTTCCCATACGACAAATAGGAGAGAACAAAGAAAACTATAAAACTCAAGTGTCAAAGTCGTGTGATCACAATTGATATGATTATGAACAATAAATTTTGTTCGAAACGTCATCCAGTAAATAATACTGTTTCACTGTGTGATATATCTAATAAACAAACTAATTTGGACATACGTTTGGTTTGAGTTTGATGACTATGAAACTGTTGTTTTACGAAAAAGTTCATCATATAAGTATTAATTTGCAATGCTTATTGGGCGATGGAGTGTTGAGTATATTGTAAAGGTTTGATTTCTATGATTCATTCCTGTATTAAATGATTTGGCGTGAAGATATGGGTTGGTGACGAAGCCTGTTTTAGGATCTTCTGTTGCTCACCATAATAAGCGAATTAAATTTTAGTATTAGATCATAAACTTAAACTTCAAGTGTTTTTGTTACTGTGTTTCTCATGAGGACAGCTACCTCCCCCTACACTTACATAGTTGTGAGATGAAACTTGCTTCTGAGTATCAACACATGTATATTGTTTAGATATGAGTTTTGTCGTCAAATGAATTTAGTCATCTCCTATTTGTTTTATACAAGTAAGTACTTTAGAGAAAACTGTTCTACCTTGTGGAGAAAGTTTACCTCCGATTGAAAAACTTCTCTTTGATAAAAATTTCACAAACATACCAATGTGGTGTACACTGAATCTCTCTGAGACGTATAAGATTAGCATGTTTGTGGAAATATCTATTTCGATTAATTGCCGATCATGATATTAGTCATCTCTGTCATATGTTACAGATGTATTTTGGAGACATGATTTTCGATTATTTCTTTCCAGGTGTGTAATGAAACCGTCGTTGGGTTTTGCATCACCTCGTAGTCAAGTGAGTATATCACCAGGATCTGTTGTATGTTCAGAATGTGAACTATCTGGTGATATAACCATTGGTACAAATACTGTTATTCATCCAAAAGTTCGTATTATTGCTGAAGCCGGTCCAATAATTATTGGTTCGTTTAATTTAATCGAAGAACAGGTTGAAATAGTGAATAAAATTGCTGGTTCTACAATGAAGATAGGAGACTACAATGTGTTCGAGGTTAGCTAGTCTATGCTGTTATTTATTTTCCATTATTCCTTTGTGTATCAGTTTTAATTTTTAACGATGTTTTAGATAGTCATCATACATATTAGTTATTCTGCATGTTTTTTGTGCACTTAGCTTTAAGGGTTTATGATATTGTCCCAAGTCAAATACATTGATGTCGCTACCTGTCAGTTCAAGTCAAGGTAATTCCTTACCATTTTGTATGCCTATTGTAATGGGCTCACATTAATAATGTAGTATTTATCAACTGTGAGCGGTTTTCTTCTGTTGGTGTTAAATGGTCAGCAATCTGTTAGAACTTTCTTTATACAGCATCAAGCGAATACATGGACTTGGAATTATCTACTCGAAACTATCACGAAGCACTTGTTTCGTTTTGAACGCCCAGACAGTATCTCAGCCTTTACATTAATCATCAAAACTACTATTCTGCAAACAAATTACTTCGTCAATCACATATTCAGCGATTTGATCAAATATCATTATGCATTTTCTCTTATACATAAATCATTTTGTTTTATTTTTACATTCTGTATCATTTTTACTTTTTCTAGTGTCTTTACTTTCATCAGACGTTCACAACTGTTTGAAATCTCAGTGTGCTTGTGTTGTTTAGAGTTGCGAGCTAATTGCTTTCAGAAAGCTGGCCTCCAGTATGATACTTGACACGTGTGTTCCGAGACCATGTGTCGCAGTCAAATTTGCCGTATACAACTTTCGCACATTGATGCAAATCAGAGGACAGACTTGTCTGAGCAGTGCCCCTAGAAAGATTCTGTTGATGTATGCTGCGCACATAAAATTTCAGACTGAATAGCGTGTTAGAGTTGCCTTTATTCAGGTCCCTTTGTTGTCCAGCTTATCTGGTTTTGGTGTTGCATGAAGCGCTAGAGGTAAAGCTGTATTTCTCGACTGGATTCCACTTAACAGTTAGGCCTGTGGAAATGACTAGTTAGGAAAGCGTTGTCTTTCTGGCATCTTTTTCCGCTCGTCGACGGATAACAGCTCAAATTCAATTAAAGATAGGTTCTACCACCCACTGAGTGGTCCAAACCAAGCTCACTCAACAGATTTCATAGTGATAGCTGGGTACTTAAATGTACAGATTGGGCGTCTAGGTCAAAAGAGAGTTGTTTAGGTTACCTGGTGCTACCTGGTGTTCTCCTTCTGCCAGTCATGCATGGTCTCATATAGATCATATAACTATTAGCTAACGATGGTTTGGGTGTATAATGGATTATCTCACCCTAAACCCTTCGGCTGGGTTCTGCGCCTGGATTAGTGTGTGCTAGGTTTATTTTGCAACTTCATCGTAATAATTAATGTGGTCCTCAACAGGCTAAGGTAGCTTAAATGGTAGCACGTCCTAACTATGCGAAGTATCAACCCGAGCCAGGTTCAAGGTTATTTATCGGTCCTCTAGATAGTATAAACGAATACTGTTTGCACTTAAAAGAAACCATAAAAATATCGAGTAAAGTCACTTGCAGCTTAGAAATATCGCCCTCTAAAACGATTGGGTATCTGTTAGTTACTGGTAAATACTTGATGCTCCTCGTTCCATTTCGGCGGATAGTTATTACAATAACCTGCGTAAAGCTCTTATAGTTCATACTAAACAGAATTGCAAAGCCTCGTAATCAGAATGTAAGTGTGAAATGGAATCAACAGTGGAATTTTGTTCATTCGAGCCACTAACGGCAGCAATCGTGGTGTCAGCGAGGGTGTTTATGAGGCAAATGGTAAGCTGATTAACAACCTAAAAGATGCTTGAAGCTCTGGGCAGCGCACTTTGGAAAGAAGTTAAGATAGCTCACAGCCTCAGTTTCCGATACTGTTAATCACAATGTCACATTATCTGCTAGTACAGGTCCGTTTAAACGAAATGGAAACCCTAAAGGAATTCCAAGTACTCAAACCTCGTAAGGCACTCATTCCGGGTTATTCATCGCCGGTTCTTTAAAGGCGGCGGTGAGAATTTATTTAAATAACTGACTAAATCGCTTAGGGGAGTGTCGGGAATCGAATGTCCAATCAGTGTGGGATTAAGCCATTACTGAGCCCACTTTATTATTGGCCCACTTTTTGATAAAGCAGTCACTATAGTTTTAGTTCTTTAACAGCTACGTTTAAAATACTTGTTGACGCCCTGCTCTGTAGGCTTTATAAACTGTGAAGAACTGATTCTAGGTTTCGTTCAGGATATGAGTGTAACGATCACATTTCCATCATTCGCCAGTTATTTGAACACCATCATTCATACTGCAGGCCAGCGATGGTGGTCTTCCTTGATATTGTGACTGCCTTGGATTAGTTGAACAGAACTCTTATTCGAAATTGTTTATTAGAGACAGGTGTTCATAAGATGGTTGTCAACATCTTGAAAGCCTTATACAAAACACTAGGTAGAGTGAGGGCTTACAACCAGTTGCGATATAGTGGTGGTAGTTGGTAGCTAGGATGTTCAAATGTATTAAGGTAAATGTGTCCACTCGTGAGCTTGTCTTTTGAACAACCTAAAAATATCCCGTTTACCGTCAGTCATTACTGTGTGGTTACTTACTTTTACTTTACTTCGGCTATCTCCTACGGGAGGATGAGCCGGCTTCATGAACAGAGAGTTCATGAAGTTTCATGGGAATTTGGTACGAGTGATGTCCCCAGAATCACTCGGCCTTTTGTTTGAGAGTGCAGCTCTAGCCTTTACACAACCAAGTGTGGCCTACAAGGCAGTAGGAGTGAAGTAGGGAGTCCACTACCCATTGGCAGCCGGTGACCGGAGTTCGGTTCATACGCCTTTTTGAATGGGGCCAGACATCCAGGACATCCAAAAAGCCCTTTGTCCATACGTCTGCCGGTGAGCTCCAGTGAGCTTCATACGCCAGTCGTTGGAGGTTTGGAATCAGCGTTTAGCCATCTCCCCTAGACTGTCATCCAATGGACAGTCAACCCGGTGAAGAGCGCCGGGCATCCGCTTTCGCCCTCTCACTTTGGTGAAAAGCACCTCCGCCACGTGAAGGCAGTGAGTAGGACTTCCTCAGGAGAGGCTATGTGAGACGCCCGGTCATATGGGAGCATTTCAAGAGGTGTGTGGAGGGGTGGCCAACCCTCAGCGCAAGGCACCCACCCCGGACCATCCTCAGGCTTTGGAGGCTACTGTGTGGTTAGACAGGGTTACTCTACTTCCCTACTTTTCCTTATCTTTGCCGTCGATGACATTCTTATTTTTGGACTCTATTTCTGCTAATCTCAAGTAAGATAGTTGGATGTCAGTCGTGCTATGGTAAATGTCCCCAGTTTTTGTAAAATGGATACATCGGTGTCATTAGTAGATTTGACTTTTGTAATAGATCCAATAGCTTGTGTGTTACTTCTTTTCTCCTTACAGGTGGGGGCTCGTTGTTGTGCCTTAGAAGTTGGTGATAATAATGTTTTTGAGGCGAAATGTAATATTGGACCAAATGTTAAAATTACTCACGGTTGCGTAATTGGTGCAATGTTTTCATTGGATGCTGGAGAAACAATACCGGAGTGTACTGTTGCCTACAGCGATGAAGTTCGTACTGTTATTATCATAGTGGTTATTGTTTGTATTATTAAATCAACCATGCTTGTTCCATATTAGTTTGTTTATTAGATATATCACACAGTGAAACAGTATTATTTACTGGATGACGTTTCGAACAAAATTTATTGTTCATAATCATATCAATTGTGATCACACGACTTTGACACTTGAGTTTTATAGTTTTCTTTGTTCTCTCCTATTTGTCGTATGGGTAGTAGAATTTTCCAGATATCGGGGACAGGTGATGAATCATTCCTATTACATGTATTTGTAGTTGATTCGATAAACAAAGCTTCTGTTATCAATCTCTCCCTATACCCTGTGACATTGGATTTTAAAACTGTCATGCTATCGCATCCTATTGTATGGTTGTGTTACTGCATGGATTGCTATAGCTGAACTATTCTCTAGATTTCTTATTTTATTCGGGTCAACCAATCTAGATTTTGCTAAGTTTTTATGTTCAGCTAGTCTGACTGCCCCTGTTCTACTAGTTTGACCTATGTATTTGACCTGACAATCATTGCAGGGTATTAGATAAAATAAATTGTTTTGTTTTAAAGGCTCTACAGGATCCTTTAACCGACAAAGCTTGTTTCTAATTGAGTTTGTGGGTTTGACTGCCGTTTTTATTCCTGCCTTGTTAAGAATTCTGAGTAAGGCTTCCGAGGTTCCTTCCTTGTATGGAATTACTACTGATGGTTTAGATTCTTTATTGTTGGTGTCGTCATTAATATTATTATTATTATCATTATCATTATTATTGATATTATCACTATCGCCACTATCATTATTTATTTTATTTTTACATTTCCTTACATATTTCCTGACTAATTTATCCGGGTAATTATTAAGTTTCAAGGCTTCTTTTATGTGTATCAGTTCCTGTTTTAGATTTTCTTTGGTACTACTTAGTTTTTGTGCTCTGTCATTTAAACATCTCACCAATCCTATTTCTACTGACATAGGATGGGATGATAGGAAGTCCAAATATCTGTTTGAATGTGTGGGTTTCCTGTAAACACTAGTGTTTAACTTCCCATCTTCTTTCCTCTTTACGTTGCAATCTAACATTGGGAGTTCCCCTTCCTGATTTTCCAATTCATAAGTGAATTGAATTGCTTCAACCTTCGAGTTGATGTGTTCGAAAAACCTATCTATATCTTGTGTTTTAAGTACAGTGAATGTGTTATTTACATACACATTGATAATGATAATAGTGATAATAATAATAATATTAATGACGACACCAACAATAACGAATCTAAACCATCAGTAGTAATTCCATACAAGGAAGGAACCTCGGAAGCCTTACGCAGAATTCTTAACAAGGCAGGAATAAAAACGGCAGTCAAACCCACAAACTCAATTAGGAACAAGCTTTGTCGGTTAAAGGATCCTGTAGAGCCTTTAAAACAAAACAATTTATTTTATCTAATACCCTGCAATGATTGTCAGGTCAAATACATAGGCTAAACTAGTAGAACAGGGGCAGTCAGACTAGCTGAACATGAAAACTTAGCAAAATCTAGATTGGTTGACCCGAATAAAATAAGAAATCTAGAGAATAGTTCAGCTATAGCAATCCATGCTGTTACACAACCATACAATAGGATGACAGTTTTGAAATCTAATGTCACAGGGTATAGGGAGAGATTGATAACAGAAGCTTTGTTTATCGAATCAACTACAAATACATGTAATAGGAATGATTCATCACCTGTCCCCGATATCTGGAAAATTCTACTACCCATACGACAAATAGGAGAGAACAAAGAAAACTATAAAACTCAAGTGTCAAAGTCGTGTGATCACAATTGATATGATTATGAACAATAAATTTTGTTCGAAACGTCATCCAGTAAATAATACTGTTTCACTGTGTGATATATCTAATAAACAGACTAATATGGAGTTGCTTACTGACACAGTGTTCAGGTTTTACACATCAATCAATACAACGATGCTTGTTTTCGTGTTTTCTAATATCTTTGAAAATAATTCTTTCAGTAATAAAGTGAAGTTGAGGGTTTTCTTTCATATGCATATTACTTATTTAATAGAGATTGCTTGAATTACTGTATTCGTATGTGTACACTACATGTAACTGTAAGGTTTATCTTAGTTCATGGGGATACACTATCAGAAAGTGCTAGTGATTAAGTGCAGTGCAGCAGAAATGGCTATTCAAACACTCTTCCAGCAACAGTCCTGGAGGCGTATTTTGCGTGTGACATATGAATGTTTGGCACGACGATGAATACTGGTGTCAGCTTCGTTTATTTGCATGTTTGTGTAGGCTGTAATAATAAAGTTGACAAGTCAAGTGATTTGTGCAACAGTATTGAAAATTATGCAGACGTAGTTTGTCACTAGACTCGGATGGAGCTCACTTTCTTGACGGAAATTAGGCTTTCTATGGAGGTTGTACATATATAATATATATATGCATATGTATATATATATACATATATATTAAAGATTTCATTTTTATTATGAATATTTTGTACATTATTCTTTAATCACTTGAATCTATCCAGTTAAATCAATCACCTTAACATTCATCAGTGCGATCCACACATATCTGTCTCTTTTCTTCCTTAGGGTAATCGTCGTATCGCAACTGAACGTCCGCCTGCACAGACACTGCAGCTTGATTTCTTGACTAAACTTTTGCCGAATTATCATCACTTAACGAAATTCTCTCGAGGTACTACTACACCACAAAAATAACCGAGAAGTCTTGACTCTTCTTCATTTGCTCTGCTTTTCGACGGATTTCATATTATTTTCCACAAGTTTATTTTATCTTTATCTATAATATATATAATATAATAATCTTGTTGGTTTGGTTGGGAATACGCGGAATAATATTTTAAAACATCTAAACACACAATGGTTTTTGCTATTCTAATAATATTTTTTGTGCAAATGTCATTGTGTGTATAAAAATAAATACTGTTTAATTTTCGTTGTTCACTTCTAACTTCATATCACCGTCTGTGTCTTGCATGGAATCGTTTTGATTTGTACTTAATGTCCAGTTAAATTTTTGGAATTCAATGATGAATATGTCATTAACGAAATGGTAAACTTAGTTAAAAATAAAATGCGAGGCTGTTGTGGCCTGTCTTTCAACCATTGGTACATGGGTTCGGACACAGCACTCCACCTACTGATGTTTAGCCTGCCATGTAGCATCGCTAACCCTCATACAGTGATTTATGCATCGAATAGGCGTTTAAACGATTCCACTCAACGTTTTTTGATTCTTTAAGTGTGTTTTTTCAGAAGAATCGATTGATACACTTCGTGATATTTCTACAAGAATTGCCAGGTTTTTGGGTTTGAATGTTTATCTTGTTGCATGGATGATGATGGATGTTGATGATGGAAAGTACAGTCTTCTTATCTCTGTTTCTGCTATTTGAAAATAGCGGTATCATTTAAAAAAAAAATCTGCATGGGTACATCTAGCTGAGATGTGCTGTTGATTAAAAGACAGCGATACATTCTCTTCTGTTATGTGTCAACAATCAACCGGTATAAAACTAACAGTATGTAAGCTGTCAATTCCAAGGTTTGGTTTCTACTTCTTTTTTATAATTTTACGCATAAGGTGATGGTAGTAAGGATCTTTTTATCGTTATCAATTTCATTATTGATCTCAAGCACTGTGCTGCATGTTTTTATTCGAATCTTAATTAATCGCACACTAGGTTATCTAGTTCAAATCCAATTGTCTTTCGCTAAAACACTGTTGTTACTATATACATTTTGCTATAGTTGCTTGCTGCCTTCCAATGAGTGAGTAATAAGTTCAATATCTTTTTCGTATCAGGATTTCATCATCAGCTGATATCGGTCAGAGAACCATTGGAAAACCTGGGAGTACCTGGGTTGGTGCGTACCGATGATGAGTCCCAAACTTGGACGAAACAGCTGTCCAGTATTTCCAGGTTTTTCAATGCCTCTCTAACTGATTTCAGCTCATGATGAAGTCCTGAAACCAACACTTGAATATCTTTTTCGTATTTCGCCACCATCTCTTATTTATGTCTTTTAGAGTGCCTAGTGCATATATTTTCTCTCCACTAGTGTTTGGTATTACTATCTTTTTATTTATGATAGCCAAAATTATGATGCTTCGAAGGAATCAAATGAGCAGTTGAATGTAATCTGTTTTCACCAGAGATATGTAATGCATCAATTTTAAATTCTAATTCATTTTTCGATGTTTACTTTTCAGTAAATATTTGTAATATAGAATGAACATTAGACTTTTATCAGATGAAGCGTTATCAGCCTTACCGGGGGAAAGTGGAAGTATAGCTGAAGCAGTGGGTCCTGTCGAAGGCTTGGCACAAGCGTCATCAGGTGAACCGATAGATCCGAGTAATGCCAGTGCTTTAGCTGCTGCTTTTAACTTCACCGGCAGTAGTGCTTCAGCCCATGGCGCGACTATGCAAGAATATTTTGTGCAGGTTAGTACATTTAAATTTTGTATTCTTTTCCAAATTTTTGATCTATGTTTAGGTTATCAGTCGAATAAATTATATGTGTATATATATGAACTCATTATAAGGCGTCTGGTGTTTATAATGTTTGTGGTTGATTGTCATCACCGGAGATTGTATATATGATAACGAACTTTATGTTTCTGTGTATTTGGTATTTTTACTTTCTTTGATCGTTAACAGGCTGTGATCTCATCTCCTATTCAGCACGAATTATTATTGAATCGACTTCATGGATTGTGTCGTGAATGGACAGATTTCTGTGACCAGGAAATTATTTTTGAAATAGGGAGTGATTCCCGAGCTGATGCAAGTAATCTTGTAGGTAACAGGTCATCTGCAAATACATCTGCTGCCATCGGTGCCTTAGCCATCTCTGGATCGGGAAGTTCTAATGTTACTGTACGTGTGCGTCGAAGTCTTCTAGATAAAGTAAACAGAATTGGTCGTGAACTTTCCGTTCTACGTTATTTGGGTGCGGTAGAAACTGATAAAATAGTAAGTTATTGAGTTCCTAAGGCTTGTATTTCCGTATTTTCGATTGGAATTAATCCTTTATAACTTTGCAAATTATAAATCTTTTGTAGCAATGAGCTAATATCCGGCCGATAACTGCTTCCTTGATATAGTGGTTGCGTTTGTATACGGCAGTGATCCAACAAGCTACACTGACTGGGACTTATGTTCCTTCAGGTCCTACCATGCTAGGAAAGTTATTTGGATAGCGGTTAAACGAAAAGAAGTTACTATGGTGTACATGGGCTCCAGAATCCAAATGGATCGATTGGCTAATGAACCTGTATTAGTCACCGGTAGCCATAGAAACGTAGTTCCTGACGCTGCTCTGCTGCCCTTTGGATGAGACTTCAATTCAAAGGCTAGTGGAGAGGTCCCTTAAGACAACCACCTGCTTCAGTGTGGGCTCCCGGGCAGTATCCCAGCCCTCGCAATAATAATGAAACAACAAATCATATGGAAATTTAATCTCACGATCACGAACAATAGTGATTTTTTTATTTATTTATTTATTTTTTTTGATTTACAGCTTGATTCCACACCGTATTTTCAGTCCGGGGTTCGATCCCCTGCCGGCGCACACCCGATATCTATGGTCGGCCTGAATTTGGGCTACAGATATCCATGCTGAAAATTCCACACTTGTACTGAAAATACGGTTTGGAATCAAGCTGTAAATAAAAAAAAAATAAATAAATAAATAAAAAAATCACTATTGTTCGTGATCGTGAGATTAAATTTCCATATGATTTGTTGTTTCATTATTATTGCGAGGGCTGGGATACTGCCCGGGAGCAATGTTTCTAGCAATGCATTTCTTCTTAACCTTATTTTTATACGTATACTTTTGTGCTTTATTTTTGCTACCCTCAGTGTCTTCACTTTTGTCAGCGTCTCTCTTCGTTTGAATTCTCAGCCTGTCTGCACCGTTTTCAGGTGTCTGTGAGTGGCCTTCAAAATGCTGGCCCCTAGTACGATATGTAACATGGATATCCTCCAACCGCGTGTCACTTTCAAGCTAGCCACCTACAATGTTCGGACACTGATGCAAACCAGACAACGCGCAAGTTTGGTAAAAACATTGGAATGTCTCACTATCGATATCTGCCACATTTCGAAGACCCACATTCAAGATCCCAGTGAAGTGCTTCGAATGTCTTCTCCATCTGAGATTTCGAATAATACGTACCACCTGAGCTTATCCAGTGATCATGTGGCGTTGGCATCCAACGTAACTGGTGTTGGTGACCTACTAGGCCCTAGAGCCAAAGGTGCATAACTCGACTAGATCCCCACTAACAGTCGTTTATGTGCTGCGGGGCTGGAAGGTTATGCGAAAGTGAGAAGCGGTAAACCAGATGGGCGTTGCCCATTTGTTGTCTCTGCTTATGCATCGACGGATTGCAATCCGGATGCAATTAAGGATGAGTTTTACTACCGATTGGGTGATCTCCTGAGATAGGCGCGTCAGAGAGATATCGTAGTACTGGCTAGGGACTTGAATGCATAGGTGTCGGGAGTCTAGGCTCAGTGGAGAGTTGTGTAGGTGGTCAGTGTGGATTACATAGTCGCAAGTCAAACAATCGGGACGATCTTCAGCTTCGCTTAAATCATAACCTGTTTCTAGATGAGTGCTGGGTCCTTCTGGCAGAGAGCGTGTATAACAATATACGTAGGGCGCTTACGCGCAAGATCGAACTATGTTTATTCAAGGACCCTGTAGTCTGGTGGTTAGAACGTGCGTATGAGATGGAATTAGCAGCTGCATTTAGCTCCAGCTGGCAGCCTTTCCAGCTCCTCCGAGACACCTACGGCAAGAAGCATGGTGTCAGCGGTCGGTCTGTGAGGCAGATGGTACACCAATTACCAGCCTAAAAAGACCTCTGGGAGGCTGGTCAGAGCACTTTCAGGAGCAGTTTAGCTGGCTATCAGCGCCATCATCCAATGTCACCAGCTACAGTGCTCCTTTGTCGGTCAATACTGACCCGCCAATCGTAGCGGAGGTCAGAGAGGAGCTCTAAGTGTTGAAACGCCATAAGGCTCCCATCCCAGACAATTTACCTCCGGCTTTTTTAACAGATGGTGGAGAGATTATCGTCATGGCTTTGACTGGATTGTTCAGGAAAGTTTGGGAAATCGAGGATGTTCCATCAACGTAGAATGAAGTTATCATCGTTCACATCTTTAAAGAGTCGACGAAACGCATGCTGCAACTATAGGGAAATCACTTTGGCACTAGTTTCATCTAAAATATTGGCTACTGTCTTGCTCCACGGGCTGTGCGAAACACGTGAGGGGTTGATTCATGAAGAGTATGCTTGGTTTAGTTCAGGCCGTGGATGCATTTTTTGTGTGTTCACCCTTCGTCAGGTGTTGGAACACCGTTGCACGTTCTGCAGGCTAACAATTGGTGTGTTTCTTGATATTAGGGCTATCTTCGATTCATGAGACAAAGCTGCTATCTGGAACTGTCTTTTAGAGAGTGATGTACCTGTAAGGTTTGTTAACATCGTGAAAGCCCTATACAGAAATACCTTAGGTAGAGTGAGGGCATTCAAGCAGCTATCATCACTGTTCCCGACCAATGGAGGGGTTAGAGAGAGTCGCCCAGTCTCTCCATTTCTCTTTAACTTCGCCATCGACAAAATTCCGGAATCAGCTCTGAAGGACGTAATTATTGGTTGTATAGAATTGCTTCCTGTGCATCGGTGACACAGTGGTTGAGACGCTCGCCGGCCATGCACATGGTCCGGGGTTCGATCCCTGTCCGACGCACACCCGACATCATTGATTGCACTGCTTAATTTCGGCTACCGATATCACATGCTGAAAATTACATACTTGTATCAAAGATAATGTGTGAAGTCAAGCTATAATAAAAATTAAAATTGATATATTCCGATAAAGAAAGGAAGACGAAATTTGCAGTATAAAATGATATCATTCTATTTCACAGGTTCTCATCAGCTGCAGACTACCTGAAATTACAATGGTTATATAAATGATAATAACATACTTTAATGTTTGATTAGTAGTAGAGAAGAGATAAAATTGACGCATCCGAAAAAGAATGAAAGCATTACAATCTTTAGTTTAAGTTATCATCATCAATTTATACACTATCAAAGTTGAAAAGATGGGGGAGGGGTAAGGCAGAAAACAGAAAAATTGATTAACAGAAACAGTGTTAGCTTGTAGGTTCACATAGCAACTCCAAAAAACAAAGGCGGTTACAGTTTATGAGATTAAGATTTGTTCAGTGAGTTGAGATAACTGAATTAGATGACTAATTATTGTAATCAAAATCAAAATTCAGTTACCAAGGGAGTGAGAGGTTAATCACAATCTCTTTCTATATGCATAAGTCTGGCTTAAATCGTTTGATTGCGATCGCTTCGGCAAATCGTAGTAAATTTGCTGTCCTTTGTCTATTTAATATTTTGAAGGACTTAGAAATCTCTACGAAGATGTCCGGTATCCACAATATGTCTGGTAATTGCACTCTGAGAATATTTGCTTCCTTTCAGGCATAGGTTTCTTGGAATATGTTCAGAAAACCGGATAGAAGCCCTTCTTTCTGTCCTTCCAATGTACTTGTTCCCGCAAGTGCACGTAAATTCATAAACGCAGTTGGAGGTGACATCAGCAGGGCATTTATCCAGTTTTGAGTGGATCATGGAAGGAGTGGTGTTGTATACTGTTATGAGTTTTGCTGCCGGGAAGCTTCTATTTATTGCTCCTTTCAGTCTTCTGTCAATCTTTTGTGAAACTGCATCTCCTTTGAATGGGAGACAAATAAACACTTTTCTTTTCTGCAGTTGGATGCTTTTCTTTCTTATCTTCTTCTCTGCTATAATTCTGTATAAATCCTTTAGGGTATCCATTTTCCCTCAGGCATTTCTCGACGAAATCTAGTTCTTCTTCGGCCTTGTTTGGCTTCCCGGCTCTGTCGTACAAAGTCCTCACTAATCCACATTTATAGCTTATGGGACAAAAGCTGTTATAGTGAAGATATTGTCCAGTCCAGGTTTCTTTTCTATAGATGGACTTTTCAATCATGCCTTCGTTTGTTCTTTTTACATTTAGATCCAGGAAATTGAACTCATTTTTATGTTCATATTCCATGGTGAACTTGATATTTGGGTGAATCTCATTTAGACGATCATATAATGCCGATGCGTGATCCATGTCGTTGCAAACAAATGTGTCATCAACATATCGGCGATAGTAGGTTGTTCCATTGATAGCAGAACTTAGTTGTGTCTGTTCAAGGTAGCCCATGAAGATATCAGCCAGGATAGGTCCCAGAGGTGAACCCATCGCGACCCAATCAATTTGTCAGTAGAGTTGATTGTTGAATTTGAATTGTATATCTTTTGTGCAGAGCAGCAGTAGTCGCTTCATCTCTGTTTCCGGTAACGGTAGTAGATCCGTTTGTTTACAAATAATATCAATCGTTTCCATCAGTGGTACGTTTGTGAACAAGGAGGTCACGTCATACGATACCATGAGTTTGTCTGATATGTCAATGTCGTCAACTTCCTTGGAGAATTGGTAGCTATCCTTCAGGCTATGGGTTGCAAATTTAATTCGAATTGGCTCTATGGAATCAGCTAACCATCGAGCTAACTTGTGGCATGGTGAGTCAATCATTGACAAGATTGGTCTTAAAGGCACGTTTGCTTTATGGATAGTTGGTAGGCCATACATAGACGGCAGGCGTCCACCTTTTGACTTCAGTTTATTGTATGTTTCGCTGTTGATTAGTTTCTTCATTAGAAGTTCTTTGAGACATTTATTTACTTTATTTTCAAACAACGTTGTGGCATCTTTTTTGTTGTCTACTTGAAATTTTTCTTTGTCGCTTAGAATTGTCATCATTTTATGAATATAATCAGCTTTGTTCATTATAACAACCCCAGAGCCTTTATCAGGTCTAAATATGACGATTTCATCGTTCTCATATAGTTTCTTCAGAGCTATTCTATGCTCTTCGGTCAGCATCTTCTGCTTCTCCATTGGCGATATGTGATATTCGTTAGCAATATCAACAAGTTTAAACTTTAGCCATCCTCTTTTATCTTCGTCTGAGGGTTTCAGGTCGTGGAGTTGATGGTATAAGTGTTCGAATTGTGCTTCTGTATCTATACGACTGATCTGCTTCTTGGGGACGTGAAACTTGAATCCTAGAGATAAGGCTTCTAATTCGATTTTGTTTAATTGTAATTTTGATAGATTACAGACGTAGCGTTCAGGTGATTCTGGGAATTCTCCGATTAGCTTCTCTTTCACCAACGCTTTTGTCAGCTGAGTTTCATAATCCTTGGATGTTTTTGATTGTAGCTCTTTGATGAAATTCATGAATTTTAGCCAGCAAATAATATTAAGCTCACTTAGTAGGGTATCATAGGTAGCCAGACGAGATTTCAATTCGGAGAGGTACTGGTATGAAGATTCGATGTGAGACTTTGTTATTCGACGGAGATTCTTTTGGGAAGGTGGGAGTTTAGCCGATCGCACTTGTTTCAGGAACTGCCGTGGGAAACAACCTGTTTGCAAACACTGTTCATAGAACCTGATCTTTGTTGATTCTCTAGATATTCTGCATCGTATGGTCACCACCTGATTCAGTGACTTAATAGTTTTGGCAGGGAGGCGTCTTTTCAAGAAATTCATACAACTGGTTCCCTTGATAAATTTCGATAAAGAAAGGAAGACGAAATTTGCAGTATAAAATGATATCATTCTATTTCACAGGTTCTCATCAGCTGCAGACTACCTGAAATTACAATGGTTATATAAATGATAATAACACACTTTAATGTTTGATTAGTAGTAGAGAAGAGATAAAATTTCATGCATTTATTCCCCTTGATGAATTTAAATAAAGCAAGAACAACAGCGGTTTGTGCAGAATAATATGGTACCATCATTTATTTCGTCGGCTTCTCATCAGCTGCTTACAGCCTAAATAAATTGTGAGGTTTACGTACAGAAAAGTTTTTTACATACTTGCAAATTTTACATGTTGTCAGTTGACAGAAGGTTCCACAGTAAGTGAACAGTGCTGAGAAAATTGCGCTTATATAGTTTTTTTCACAGGCAGTTCAAGTTTAAACAAAATAGGTGTATGCATACAATGGTAAAAGAGTTACGTAATAAAGACGAGAGGTGAGTAAGATGATGAGTAACTAATAAATTTTGTAACGATGTACTGAGTTTTAATCACGTCATAGAAACAAGAGACAAGCAATATTACAGATTTTAAAATAAAAAACAAAAAAGGGAGGGGTGAGGTTAAAGACAAAGATTACGTAATCAGATTACAGAATAAAGACATCCAGTTACCATGGCAAGGAAAGACTAATAACTGCTTCTTTCTGAACACATAAATCTGGTTTGAAGCGTTTGATAGAAATTGCTTCGGCAAACTTGAGGAGAATGGAGCTCCTTTGTCTATTGATAACTTTAAAGGATTTCTCGATTTCCACCTCATGACCCGTGTCGAGGAGATGCCTGGCGATGGCACTGTTTAAAGAATTTGTTCCCTTTAGACGTAAGCTTTTTGGTACATGTTCAGAAAATCGTAGATATGCCCTTCTTTCTGTCCTTCCAATGTAACTGCTCCCGCAGATACATGTAAATTTGTATATGCAGTTGGAGTTCACATGAGAGGGATATCTATCGATTTTTGATTGCATCAAAGAGCAAGTTGTTTGATAGACGGGAACGAGCTTGGCTGCAGGATAGGCTATAGCTAGTGATGTACTTAGCCTTCTGTTGATCATCGCTGTAATGTTTTCACCTTTATAATCAAGCTGAAAGTAGATTGGCTTTTTTTCCACTGTGATTTGTTTTACATTTTTGACTTCAGATCTTCCATACTTGTTGATGAAACTTTGAGGGTATCCATTTCTCTTCAATGTCTTTTCAAGAAACTCAAATTCTTCCTCTAATTTCTCTATAGAGCATATTCTTCTCGCTCTATAGTACAGAGTCTTGACTAGACCGCGTTTAAAGCTATTTGGACAAAAGCTATTGAAATGTAAGTATTGTCCTTTCCATGTAGGCTTTCGATAAATTGACTTTTGAAGACTACCGTCTTCTAGGCGTTCCATGGCAATGTCGAGGAAGTGAAACTTTCCGTCACTTTCATGTTCCATAGTAAACTCAATATTTCTGTGTGCATCATTGAATAATCCGAGTAAGTGTGAAGCATGACTTTCATTGTTGCACACTATAAATGTGTCATCAACATATCGACAGTAGGAATTTGTTTCGTCGATTGCATGCTTCAACTTTGTTCATCGTTCACATCGTTAAAGAGTCGACGAAACGCATGCTGCAACTATAGGGAAATCACTTTGGCACTAGTTTCATCTAAAATATTGGCTACTGTCTTGCTCCACGGGCTGTGCGAAACACGTGAGGGGTTGATTCATGAAGAGTATGCTTGGTTTAGTTCAGGCCGTGGATGCATTTTTTGTGTGTTCACCCTTCGTCAGGTGTTGGAACACCGTTGCACGTTCTGCAGGCTAACAATTGGTGTGTTTCTTGATATTAGGGCTATCTTCGATTCATGAGACAAAGCTGCTATCTGGAACTGTCTTTTAGAGAGTGATGTACCTGTAAGGCTTGTTAACATCGTGAAAGCCCTATACAGAAATACCTTAGGTAGAGTGAGGGCATTCAAGCAGCTATCATCACTGTTCCCGACCAATGGAGGGGTTAGAGAGAGTCGCCCAGTCTCTCCATTTCTCTTTAACTTCGCCATCGACAAAATTCCGGAATCAGCTCTGAAGGACGTAATTATTGGTTGTATAGAATTGCTTCCTGTGCATCGGTGACACAGTGGTTGAGACGCTCGCCGGCCATGCACATGGTCCGGGGTTCGATCCCTGTCCGACGCACACCCGACATCATTGATTGCACTGCTTAATTTCGGCTACCGATATCACATGCTGAAAATTACATACTTGTATCAAAGATAATGTGTGAAGTCAAGCTATAATAAAAATTAAAATTGATATATTCCGATAAAGAAAGGAAGACGAAATTTGCAGTATAAAATGATATCATTCTATTTCACAGGTTCTCATCAGCTGCAGACTACCTGAAATTACAATGGTTATATAAATGATAATAACATACTTTAATGTTTGATTAGTAGTAGAGAAGAGATAAAATTGACGCATCCGAAAAAGAATGAAAGCATTACAATCTTTAGTTTAAGTTATCATCATCAATTTATACACTATCAAAGTTGAAAAGATGGGGGAGGGGTAAGGCAGAAAACAGAAAAATTGATTAACAGAAACAGTGTTAGGTTAGCATCAGTAGGTACACCACGACTCCCTGGTTGGGGTTCGAGAGGTAGTTCTAATCGATGACTCGAAGCGCTATCAGATATGACGCAGGACCACAATCCGTGGCTAATGTTCTGCGATTTCCTCCTTTTTCCCTTTTGATTACAGCTTGATGCCACACCGTATTTTCAGTACAAGTATGGCATTTTCAGCATGGATATCGGTAGCCCAAATTTTGCAGGCCGACCATAGATATCGGGTGTGCGTCGGTAGGGGATCGGACCCCGGACCATGTGCATGGTCAGCTAGAGTCCTAACCACTGTGGCACCAACGCACAGTAATACAACGAATGTTGCTTGGTCTTGTTAAATGTGGTTGCCTCCTCTATGGATGAAGTCCTTTATTCATTCTTTTCCTATTTTCTTTATATGCTGTTTTATTGTTACCATTATTGTGTGGCGCATCATCTTTGTGCCTATATTTCACCAGGTTGTGTGTTTTAAATAAAATAATAACAGATATGCTAGTGAGTATTGAGCTATAGCGAAAATAATAAGGTTTCAAGATTTCGCCTACTCAACAGATGCTACTTTACTGGTAAAGGTGGTTTTATTGATCTTTATTTCCCATTGGAAAATATCCCAAGTGTATTTCTTATTTTATGTTTAGATTTTACGACGCAGCTGCCTTGAAATGCCTATTACGGGACCTATTGTTAGCTTTCTTTATGATTTAGGTTTCGAACATGAATTCACCTACATAGCTGAAGGTCAAGAATTTATTCGTGGACGCGTCAAAGTGTTGGTCTACACTTTAAATGAAATCACTCAATATCATAGTTTAACAGTTTCAAATACTATGGGTTTGAGTTTTGATGGACAGGTGAGTTATTAGATATAATATGCAAAGAGTGACAGCATCATATATATATATATATATATATATATATATATGTATATTCGCTGATGTTGGTACGATCACTATCTATCTCTGCTTATCTTATCAGAGTGCTCACATAAATCCTAGACTTTGTGCACTCTTATTATTTTTTATCCTCTGATGATATTGACAGTAATATTTTGCATATTTCGTCATTCCAGTTACTTGCATTTGTTGTAGATCGGATGAACAAGGATATAGTTGCGAAGATCTTATACTTATTTAATTAAATATATTCTCTCTAAGAACTGTGACTACTTTCGACCTTATTGTGTGATTGTGTGTGCACTTGAATGGACAACTTTTTCTCTAAATAGGTCATTTTTTTTTAGGGTCAGTCATACCATATTTGCTAAATTCTTATGTTTTGATAAAATAATTCACCCAACTCCACTAAACTGATATATATAGTTCACTTGACATTCATTGCATGGTATTTTGCAGACTAGATTATTTCGCGAAGTCGAGTATTATGCCTTTAAATGCGTTTGTAGGTTTGAATGCCACCCTAATTTCCGCTTTATTAATAGTTCTACAAATTTGTAAAAAGTTATGTTTGTAAATTCTCAGCGAGATTGAAATGAGGAATTTTTTACAAATGTCTACTTCTCACTCGGCGCCCAAATATTTTAGAACTATTCTGTCAAATCTTGATGACAGTTCATTTGAGTTCTACAAATAGTTTATGTAGTACACCACATAGCAACATTATTATCATTATTGATTTTCATTCCAAATTAATACAATTTATCCCATTAGTAAACTTGACCACAACAGAAACAATGGATGCACCAGGATAGTATGAACTCATTTTGTGGAATAAAATCGTTATTATTAATATTATTTCGAGGATTCTTCTCAACTGGCCACAGCCTGAACAATACAAAAATATAAATTACAATAGAGATATAAAACATTCTTTTTCGTGATGACAATGAGTAATTGATAGGAACTAAGAATAAGAATGCGGTAGGTTATCAAGTTATTAAAAGTTGAAATGATTGACTATTTATAAGATAATTAATTAGGCCCAATACCCTTGAGAATTGAGTTCAAAATGTTCGGGTAAAAAAAAAGCTCAACTGGGAAGAGTATAAAAATATATATGGTTGCGTAACTACAGGAAATATGTTTCTATAAGATAGTGAAAAAGGTGATGGGTGAGTATTTTCTAAACAAGATAGACGACTGAGGAGAATACGCGACGTAATAAAGTTGTATACTTTGTTATATAAGTCTAGTCACCAAGATGGTGCAAGTTTCACCACTGTCTCTTGCTGCGTAAACAGATTTGGTTTTCATCACTTGATGGTGATTGCCTGAGCGAAATGTGGCAAGCCAGGTTTCTTCTATCTGTTGGTTATTTTGAACGCCTTCAGATTATCAACAATATGATCAGTGTCCAATAGATGGCGCACAACTGTTTACTGACTGTGAGCCTTTTAGTCTCAAGTTCTTTGGTATATGTGCGGACGCTAACTGTTCTCTGTTTTAGCGCGTACGTGTAAATTGGTAGAGACAACCGGAGGTAACATAAGGTGTGAGTTTGTCCACTTCTGATTGTTTTAATCACTTAGGTATTTGAGACACACATACAAGCATGGCGTTGGGATATGTTTTTCTCAACTAAGCAAGCTCATTCGACGTTTTATGCTACCAGCATTACGATCACCTTTGAAGGCAGGCTGTACAACAATAGAATTTTCCTAAAGTGTGCTCCGAATCACTTTTTCATCACTACGTTCTCTGTGTTTGTCGATGAACTTCTGTAGGCATCCATAATCACGCATTCATCTTCCACAATGAACAAACCTTCAGCGACTTTTTCTTCTGAGCAAAGCTTTCGCGCACGACCAAACAATGTTCTCATCAATCCCTTTTGTAACTTATGGAACAGAAGCCTTCGAAGTTTAGATATAATGCCCTCCAGGTCTCTTTTGCTGTGTATGTACCTTACAATTTTACCGTTTATATCACTTTGGATACCATTGTCCTTATTTTCATATTCCATTGTAAATTTTATATATTAGGATGAGTGCTATTCAGACCTTTTAATATTCGACATGATTTTCCTAATGACTCATCCTATGAACTACTTTTTATCATCACGAAAATAATATTTTCTAATCTTATTTTTGTATTGATGAAGTTGTAACCAGTTGAGAAAAATCCCCGAAAAAATTAAAGATGTTATCCTTTCGTTCTTGCTTTTTTCAAGGTTAATATTATTCTTTTAGGTGCCTGGTGGGACAATAAGCTTCATCAGCACATCTCTGTTTCATCCATTTTCATGGTAATTGTCTTTAACTGGCCTTGGAATTGCTCATAGTCTCTCATCTCTTCCGCACTTAGTCTCCTGCATTTCACCCTCGGACCTATGCGAGGCTCGTCCTTTTCCATTTGGCTTACACCTTTGCGCGCGATGTCACTCGATGGTTTCCCTACTTTTTTGGGATATTTGTTGGGCAATAGGTTCTTGTGTGATTCATTCCCAGTGTTTTTTTAGTACTAATCCGTTCTGGCCATCCTGTCTTCTGTATGGATATTCTGAAGGTGTTACAGCATTTTGAATAATTCCTAATGCATGCACACTCAACGCACTACTGTGTTATAAATGATGGTAGTAAACAGTTAACTATAATGTGCTAACATCTGTTTGGATTTTATCTCTGTAGACAAACCACCAGATATGCTCTTGCGAGATATTCGACTGAACGATATTTTGTAAAATTTACTCCTACTTGATGATGAAAAGTGTTGCCCCAGCAGACATAATGCGTTAAATGGTTCAGCAAAACTTTTATTTTGCTTTAATTAACACATTTGAAATGGATTCCAAATTATCACCTCAATGAATCCAGTGCGTGTTTGCTTGTTTTTTTGAAAAGTCAACAGTAGTGAAAACAACTAATCTCAGGTTTTCTTTAATTTCAGGAATTAGCACCGAAAGAATGGAGACGTATTTGTTCTCGTAGTTGGATGGTAGAGATAAGCACAATTGGTAGTCCTGCAGATGACTCGTTACAAGATGAAATAACTGAGTTTACGGAACTTCTTCATCCACTCATTGTGCCAACAAAACTTGATCATAGTCTGTTCGCTCGTAAATGACATCCATATTCCTACGGGGAGCATTTCACCAAATATTTTACGAAGATGGTGGTCGTCTGTGAAGTGTACACTGTAATTTAATTAATTGTAGCACTTTGTTGACCTGTGTAAATACAATAAAACACTGTCAAAATAAAATCAAGGTTTTCTTTATTACTAGTGTGGTGAGAGCTGTCTACTAGCCAAAGTTGGTAGACAGTAATTTACATCAATGTTTACGTTCTCAAGATTTGTCGTGAGAAAATATGAACAAGACTGATTCAAAACCGACCACAGCAGACTTTGCGTAGGCGGATACAGTTAACATATGGATTATCTGACAGTCAAGAAACAGTCACAAAGAGATGGAAGATTAACTTTAAGTGAGAAACAACCAATTAGAAGACTGTGTTTATTTGCTTAACTAAACTATAATAATGTACATGAAAATATATAAATATGCTTTGATTTCCTTAATAAACGATCTGTTACCTGACCCTTGTCTTCTGCTGTTACACTAGTACTATTCCAATTGATATTGGGAATTACTGTTTACGCGAAAGAACAGAACTCTGTGCAAATTCAGCTATCTACTAATAATAATATGCGTGTATTTTCAGTCTACGCGTCACGAGTTCTAGTCCGGCTCCACATACTTCAACATAGTCAGTTGGCTTGTATCATCGGTCATCATACGATAGGTGTGGCTCATAGTCTGGTACATGAAAAATCTGCTTCGGTGACTTAGTTTAGAGAAAGATTAAAGTTTAGAATTTGGAAACTGATAGAGTTTATTTCCATTTTAGGTAAGCTTATTTTATATAATACACAGTGGTACAGTTCTGATAACTGAATGACGTTTCGAGCACTACTAATTGCTCATGATCATATTAATGTATTCACACAACTTCATAATATGGTTTATGTATATTTATATATATATATATATATATCCCGACTGGTATTCATTGTAATTTTTCATATATCTAAGATAGGCGTCACAATATGTCGATTACACCTGTTTAGTGTTGATTCGATGAAGAAAGATTCGGTAGTTAACCTCCCTCAATATATTACTTACATACGAGTGAACGCATTGCAGGAGCTGGGTTTCCTATTAAACTTATCTACTAACATTTTTAAAGTGATTTGTAGGCCGAGCAGTCTGAAGTGAATATTATTTGTAGTAGTATTTTCCTCTACAAATAACTTGACAATTTTATTTGACAAATACAATTGCTAATTTTTTTTAATGATTAGAATCTTTTTACTTCGAATTGGTATTTCCTCGAGAAAAACGTGGAGAAACTGACGGAGTGTGTTTTCAACTTAGGACTTTGCACAAGAGTTTAACACTTTAAGTTGCTGCCCTTGGTAAAAGTACACTTAAAGGTAGAGGAGAAAAAGGTGCAAAGAAGGCGTAATAAAAGAAAGGTATGGGAGGAAGAATAAGTACATATGGAACAAAGAGAATTTAATGGGTCTTGGAGATCTTAAACAGTAAATGCATCTGCGCTATTGAGAACGATTATAAGTCACCCACAGTCAAAGACCTAGTCTTTTGGTTTAACCACCCGTAACTCCTTTCCAACCCAATCCTATGTCAGCTAACATTACTCGAGGTGGAAGCGGTGAAATGGCTCAACATGTGTGACACGAGTTCAAGTCGATGCAACCTCATCGATTAGCTTTCTCTCCTTCTTTAGTGCTGTACACCTAATCTCAATATGTATTCACCTGTGTGTCAAATAAGTTCACAATGATTATAATACAGTCATATTACAATAAGGGTGTGATTTAAAAATATAGAATCAATTGACTGAAGACTGAATCATTCATTGACCTTGAAATGTTTATGTCCCTGAGATGATCTGACTCAAGGGCTATACCTCTTTCATCTGTTCTCGACATGAATTCGTCTTATCATCGTACCGACTAGTGGTTTTGAAACCTTCTGGAAGGCAGACTTCCTTTCACTCACTTCGAGATTCTTTTGACTTTGTCAGTTCCATTAAAAGCGTCAACACTCCTAATGAAACTGTGTTGTCGATGTATGAGGTCTCATCGTTTACGAAGGCCCGTTAACTGAAACAATATGCGAATGTTTTGGTTCAGTGTGATTAGGCATTTGAATACTCCCGTTGAGATACACACGAAAGTCCAATTCCCTTTCAATAAACAAATGTACCGATAGTACAACTATGAGTTTACCACTAGGCCCATCGCCCACAGATTTCCTCATGTCGAAACTAGGAAACATACGTGAGGAAAATGATTGACACTTTGATTTTTACATGGACGGCACTTTCATTATCTCCAATAATGAAGACATTCTGGATTTCTTTTCCAACAGCTGCCACTTATATATTTTGAAAAAATGTTAACTTGAATAAGGAGGGGCGTCAGAGTTAGCGCAGACGTGGTCATCACAAATATCGCTTGTCTATGCCAAGACTGTGTGCTCTCTACTTAAGCCAGAACACAACGAAGAGTTGAGACGGAAAGTAAATTTACGAAGAGAAACAATAATTTATAAAGCGAACAAAGAATGTATACTTGGAACAATGACGTAGGCATGAGAAAGGATAGTCCATATGTTTTCTGTCTAGCTACTTATGAGATAGCTGATTGGTTAGTTTTCCATACAAGCCATCGGTTCACATGTTATCACCCTACGATCCAGTTCATGTTAGAGTAGTTATCCGATCCTATAATATCTTTTCTGGACTTCAGCCACAATACGTGGATAAGATGGAACACTGTTGGAAAGATTCGTCCACAGTAGGGTGCCTTTTTATACGAAACGAAACCTGATTTGTTCATTGAATGACAGAATATGCAGCCCTGGTACCGTGAAAAGGATTTGTTCAGTGTTTTCCGTGGGCATTCCGTGAGCAACTTGGGAGATGGACGGTCAAATTAAGACTAAGCATGGTCTAACCAGAAGGTAATGTGAAGCATATACCCGAAGACCACTATGGCATCTGTAGTTAACTAAACTCGTGTCATTCTAGAACTTTTTCAGTCGTTGATACTCAGCTAATATGTCACTTAGTGTAACCGTCGGAGTTTGTTCCAAAAGGTTCAGCAACTTCATACTGATGTCAGAAAACTCAGGTGACTGTAGGCTGCAGATAGGTATTAGCGCTTTCAATTGACCTCCCGTCAAAGATTTGGCTTCAAATTGATCACATTTACGGCTGACGATACTAACTTGAATGAGAAAACGATTATTTTCATCCATAATTAATTTAAGACAGCGATTTAAAGAAAAAAAGGTAATACAAAACATAAAGACAAAACAAAACACAAAGGAAAACATCAGAAATGCATCACGAAAAACAGTATTAACACAAGAAAACCAGGAGGAAAAAAAACAAAAAAACAAAATCCAAATGAAAAAGGAAAAATGCACAACAGGAAAACGCGAAAAAATTCAAAAAGAAATCATATGAAATACAATAAGTAAACCCAAGGTTACACGAAAAAAATTCGTAGAAATACCCAGGAAACCAAAAATGTGATAGGAAAAGCAAACTCAATCACGAAGACAAAAAAAAAGTTTCTGCAGATAAAACAAACACTCAGAATTCCCAGTTGAAACCACCTTCAACAGTATACTTACAATGAAAATATGCGACAAAGGTGACATCCAATATCACATGCTTACACTCTGGAAAGTTCCCCTAGAAGATGTACACTTCGTCGACCATCCATGTCTCGTCTCTCACAAAGTCGAAGATTTACGAGCGAAATCCGACAAGCTGGTAGAGGAGGCAGCGAAGACACGACTCCGAGTGAACACAGAGAAGACACAGGTCATGAAGATACCCAACCAACCAACCAACCAACCAACCAACCAACCAACCAACCAACCAACCAACCAACCAACAACAACAACAACAACAACGAAAACAACAACAAGTACCAATCACCATCAACGGAAGAGACCTGAAGGAAGTTGTCTCTTTCACTTGCCTCAGCAGCATCAATTCAACTACAGGCGATACGGATTACAATGTCAAAGCCAGGATCGGAAAAGCAAGACAGGTACTCATTACTCTGAAATCAGTGTGGAGATCTACTGCACTCAGCACAAGGAAGAAAGCCCGGATTCTCAACACCAATGTGAAGTCAGTGCTTCGATATGGTGCAGAGACTTGGCACTGGCGTCACCGAAAGCATTTCAAACAGCCTTCTGCACACTTTCGTCAACAACTGTCTTCCCTCCATACTGAAGATTAGACGGCCCACCAGAAAGAATAAGCAACAAGCCACTCTGGCAGCTCAGCGAACCAGCAGACAAGAACCTATCGCCTAAATACTGTGCAGAAGGAAATGGAGATGCACTGGTCATAAGGTGAGGAGGAATTAAGGTGACACCATACACCAGACCGTCAGTTGGAACACGAGGGTTCGCACGTGGGTCTCAGGGTGACATACAGGCGATCATGTGAAGACGAGATGAAGGAAAGCTTGTAGGCAGTTGTGGAGCCAGTTGAGAGTGGTGACAGAGAACAGAGTCCAATGAGGTTTCACCACGCCCCTATAAAACGACCTGGTACGGCCGACGGTGGGTAGACTTCGGTCTTTCTCTCGAAATCCTCTCATGTGGCCACGCGTTCATAGCCTCCCTCAGTCAGGCCAGGTAAGTCCTATTCACTGCATTCACGCGCTGGAGTCTTCCTCACAAAAGTGAAAGGGCGAATTCCAATGTCTGGTGCTTACAACCGGACTGGTTTGACATTCTGGCCTACTGTGGGCGGACGGAAAACTCCGATTTCAAACCTACGGTGTACATGCGCTCCAGAATCCGAAAGGATAGAATGGCGTATGGACCTGTTCGGATCACCGGTGCAGGAGTCGGGGAACTACCCCAGCCCTCGAACAAACAATCAGATTTTGTGTGGCACACCCCTTGGTGACCATAATGTACCAAGTTTGTGGCCTAACAATCATACTAAGGCTAACACTACTATTACTAGCAATAATAATAAGCTGTGTCAATGAAGCCCTATTTC